ATCGCAGCGAGCGAGAGGGGGAGAAATGATAGCAGGCGCCTCATGCTGCAATATGGCTGGTTGACAGCACGACCTACGGAAGGAGAAAACAAGGCGACGAGTGGAAGACCCAGCCAATCCCTGGAGCTGGGAGATCTATAGAGTTTTGGCCTCGTAGTAAAGAAGTTGCAATAGTGGTGTTGTGTCGATTTGATATCGCCCTCGTCGTCGGCGCGTGCGGTTGAACCCCGAGCCCTGGCGTTGGAGCTTCCCGATCCGGCCAAGCGCCTGAATTACCTATTTAGACTTAGCGCCCACTGGTCTCTTGGCATGTCGGAGCGCAACTTACACAAGTAAGGTTTGATATTTGATTGCTGTCAACAAGAATTCTGGGGATTCCTCCTTCTAGCATATAGAATTATCTATTTCTCAATGATATATCCGATTCCAATTCAGATTTAAGCTATTATACCACCTCTTTTTTATATGTTTTTTTTTTCTTTCGTTCCTCTTCTGCATGGTTGAGATAGGACTGACTAGCTTTTCAAAGCTTGGCTGCGACGATTTAAGTGAATTTCTTGCTGTTTGAATCAGGGACCAGAGATGATTCGTAGGCATGACGAACATATTGCTCCAAGTGTATCGCTTGGCTGGGCGTGACTAATTGATGTCATTATGAGCCCACATTTCATGTCTCTGCGCTACATCCCAGGCTGCTGAGAAGACTACAATATATAAATAGCTATAACAACAGTGCTAGTTAATAGGGGATGCTTTATCCTGCTGACTAGAAAATCTTATTCGCAATGTCACTGAATATCTGCGTTACCGCTGTAGATGGGCCATACTGGCCATCTCATCACCGAACTGCTTCTCACAGACGCCAATTTCAAAAGCAGTTTGACTCAGCGGGCTTTCGCTTCATCCTGATGCCAGCCGTTGCAAAGAACTGGAAAAGAACTGGAAAAGCTGGGTGCGAAAATCATTCCGCACATGCTAGGAAAGGCGCAGAAGCTAACTAGGACGCTGGAAGAGACAGGTGCAGATACTGTATGCGTTATTCCGCCAGCGCATAAAAGATAAGTACAATATTACTTGTGAATTGATCGAAGCTACAAAGATGGCCAATGTGCCAAACACGTACTTTATTAGCTCCGTCGGTGCAGACCTTGCTGAGAGAGATAAGCTACCTAGCCCTCGTCAATTCATTGATTTGGAGTGCCCTTTATGTCGTGCAAAGGAGACCCTTCAACTTCAACAGGACATAGCCCAGTGGTAATTCGGTTAAGCCCGAATATACTCTCTCAGAGAAAGGATTGCTATGTCAATAAGAAAATACAGCGCTGGTTTCTATGCAGAAAACCTCTTGCTCTATTCCCCTCAAGCGAAGGAGGGTTACACTACCACTCCCTATTGGGAAGCAGAATAAGTTTGCTCCAACGACCTTAGGACTAAGCTGCCGTTATTGATTTTGATATGCATTAGTCTAACATTGCCACAGGATCTAGCTCAAGTTGTCGCCCATGTTCTCACAGGTACATATCATGTTCCCATTGCCCAGAAGTTTAACATATATTGCCGATATTAACATCCGCCAATCCTTGCTGCGGGAGAGGAGCTTGCCACAGCAGCCAGTCAAGCGCTAGGCACACCATTGAAGTTTAGCACCTTCGAGTAAAAATGCCAAGTTTAAAAGCAAGATCCTAATTTAGTATTTGCTTGAGCAGGGAGGAAGCCAAGAAAATGTTACGCGCGCAAGCAGAAAGCAACGAGTCTGAACTTGAATATCTGCTCGAATATTATTCTTTGGTTTGTGAGGGAAAAACGAACTATATCTCTACCACTGCGTTCCACGACGTGACAGGAAGCCATCCTCAGGAGCCTCCGGCTTTTTTTTAAGACATACAGAGATGAGTTTGTGCCTGAGCATAGCAACAAAAAGAGGAAGACTGGCAAGTAAGAGCCCCAGGGCCTGGTCGGTATTAATGTTTCGCTTGATTGCGCTTCTACTCTTCTCTTGATGAAAAGTATATAGCTTATTGAAAATTTATTTGAATTATTCTATATCATTGCTATCCGTGTCATCCATCAAGCGGCTGTTAATCATCGCGTGAGGAAAGATTTCCATGCTACTACAATCAACAGGGGTTCGCATTCTTACTACTACAATAACTACGTCATGCTCGAAACGCAAGATAAAGGAAACATACCGATCGTGTTAAACTAGTAATAGAGTATTCCACGACGCATCAGTGTACCTTGGAGGGTGCCCCCTCATTTTGATGGTTGTCGTAACCATGATAGCTTCGATTCGAATTCGTTGGCCGATTGCATCTGGAACACTTTCCTGCGGGTCGCAATATAGCCTAGCTGAAATGGTAAGCTCACGAACCGTTCGCAAGGAGTTAGCATTGACCCATATTTTATTGCTTTTGTTGGTTGTCTACAAGCCCTTAAAGCCCTTGGTGTATTTTGCGTGAGATTCAGAGACGGGCGAAATGATAAAGCCGAGGCGAGGTCGGGAGGTAGGCTATTTAAGTGATAGCGATGGCCATAAAGCAGACCCAAATCTTCCCCCTCGAAAAAAACCTTGTTAAGAGTGTTGCCTTTAATGTACTGAATGAACACTTGCTCAATTCCAATGCATATCCGAGATTCCCTAAACACCACTTAAAGCCCAGAACAGTGAAGAAAGTGAGAATGAAAATGAGGAAGGAAAAACAAAGCATCATTTTTCTCCCAGGGGCTTGGAATGGGCCGGAGTATTTCGGCGACGTGATCGCTCAATTAAAGGAGCGTGGATATGAACTTCACGCTCTTCACCTCCCTACTGCCGGCCTGGACCCAAAAAGCACACCAGTGGACGACATATCACTTTTCAGAAAACAACGCGCGCGCTGGCTGATGAGGTAAAAGACATTCTGGTTATGCATTCGTATGGAGGGTTTGTCGGGTCCGAGAGTGCAAAAGGTTTGTTAAAAACGGACAGGTTAGCACAGAGTGAGCAAGACGGGATCGGTCATTTGGTATATCTCGCCGGACTCCTGGGCACGGAAGGCGAGATTCTTGTTGAGAATGTTCCAGAATGGGTCAAATTCCAGGTGAGTTCTTCCGCTTCAGCGATGTCGAACAGAAATATGGACGTGAGGTCCTTTCCTCAGACAGTTCATCGCGTTCCATGAAAGCTAATATGATTGAACAGGGCGTGTGGACAACCGTTGAGAATGCACGGGATATATTCTACAACGACCTTCCAGCCTCGATGGCCGATGAGCTTGCAGCGAAGTTGCTCCCACACGCTGCGTCCATATACACCCACCCGTTGGCCTATGCTGGTCAAAAAAATTTGCCGGCAACCTACCTCCTCTACACCCAGAACTAGGCTCTACCTTTCAAGGTTCGGAAGGCCATTGTCTGCTAAGCGCATGGGTCAATGCGAACCGAGATATGCGACGCGGGTCATTTTTGTATGTTGAGCATGCCAAAGAGAGTCACCAATGTTATCATCAAGGCTGCAGGTGTGTTGGATCGAATCCCGTAATTCACACACAAATGTTAGTTGGCTTCGGAAAATTCTTTCCTTAAAATAGAATCACTCGCACTGCGCAATTTTATTTCCTTCATCATTTCGTCTGTAGTAAATTTCGGTTGAAACCTGGGAGATTAACTGCCACGGCTACACACAACTTAACAAAATAAATACTTTAGCCTCCTGAAGATATGGGTGTAATGTGTATACCTGGCTTCAAGTCGCAGTTGCATTGCTCGCAAAGGTCCCAAACAATGGCTCTAGTGATAGGAGCGAGTGGCCAGACTACATAACGGACATTCAGATTTTAGCCTGCCAGATCGTACAGGTCCCTTGCAATATTCTGAGTTAGTGGATGGAAACCGCCCGATTGCAAGAGAAAAAAGTTCCACGCACCGTCAGATTAAAGTTGTAAGCCGCAGATCTCGGAAACATGAACCGGCCGCGGTCTCGTGGAGCCACATGCTAGCCTTAAATAGAATTAGCGCGCATCCTTAGCATCAACCTCCTCAGCCCTACGCTACGTACTCTGAAATCGCTCCGACGAAGCTGTATTACGCTGTAGGAAGACTCAGCCGCTGGTGACGCATTTGTTCATGGATAAACATTGCTAATATTTTCTGCTGCATTCCTGCCAGACCCTGAATATTATTTCTAGGCGTATTTGCAATTTGCACCATCCTTTCATGGCTCACTTCTCATGCAGTAATCATACAGGGATCGGGTGCATTGAGGGCATGGGCTTTAAGGGCATTTCTCTGATAAAACCCATCCAATCGGCTATTGGCTTTTAAACACGATCACCCGCCATGAAATCATCTCACACTAGTTAATGTATGCATATCTGTTTTCAGTTTCGGTTTGCTCAAAAATAGAAAACTTTCATATTTCAACCCTTCCAGGATCTTAAAGCCAGCATCCCCTGGATTCCCACAGCTAGCGGGAAGATACACATCGCCTTAGATCACTCCTTTTGTATGCAGAAAAAAGGCTCATCGACAGTTTGCAGGCCATGCTTCATTGAGACTTTTGGTTATTGAAATAAACGATACCTACCATTGTGAAAGATGCAATAGCTCCAAGTCCGGCCACACAAGAATTTAGCTCTCAGCTCATCCCCCGTTAAGCTATTATTTGAGGGGAATGGAATAATTGCTCGCCGAAAAGCAATGGTTAAAATGGATGGTATGAGTGAGAAGTCAGCTGCATCTTTTTCCCAGTCAATCTTCATATGGTTTGTATATTTCGCCCCTAATCAATTAGAATGCGTGGTGCATACGCCAGAGAGGCAGACATGTAGAAGGCACCCACATCAGACGCCCGATGGTGGAAGAAAATTTTTAGCTGCTGTGATGTCCTGTGTCAGTGCGAATATGTCTCTGGCGAGTCAAGAATCTTAACCAGCGCGTAAGCTCCATGAATCAGATGGCGGGTCCGCTTAAAATCACGTGAATAGAATTCTTGGCATCTTGAGTTGTTACAGGGCATTCAATTTTGATCGCGCAACTCCCACTCATCAGTCACTCGATATCCATATCCGTACCGCGCTAACAGCTACTATCCTTATTGCATACTCCTTCAGCGGTTCTTAACGATATATACTGGTCAAAACTAGGTTTTACGCTCGATTCCAGGGACTTTCAATTGCTCAAATGGTCTGGTGACTCCCCACAACCTGGTCGTATATTCCCCGCAGAATGGGAGTTTTGTGGCAGAAGAAGTGATCCAAATGTTTCGGAATTTTAGACGGGCCACTCCAGCTTGTCACCTCCTAGTGCCTAGGAGTACACAGCGATCTTTTAGCAGGTATGACGGACTAGTAAAAGTTCAGCGGGTGAGGTTCAAGAGGCCCTGGTTAAGGTATGATATCCCAAGTTTAATTCCGCCTATTCGTAAAATAAACTGACCGGCCATACAAGAAGAGGCATATCCACGATCCTCACCGCAGTCGTTGCGACCCAAGTGTATTTCGCGCTCATTGGACCTTCGCTGGATCGGCTGGAAGACGTAGACGAAACCATTAGTAAAGACACCGCCTTACAAGCAAAAATTCGCGCCGAGAAAGAGAGGCAGCGCGACGAAGACGCCGTATCATTCATCCCTATTGGACTTCCCTATTCCGTACCTGGCGGACCATATACTGAAGATGATCCTGAATGGAAAACGTTCAGGTCATTTGGAATTGAAACAGCACAATTTAAAAAATTAAGAGGTAGGGACCACCCATTGCCATTTAATCACTTTTATTACGTCTACTGTTGCTCACCTACTTCCAGAAGAGTTATTAGTCCAGGCTACCGCGATCGTGAATCGAAAGCCCGCTCTGCCAGCTATTGTCCATGTGACTGGTTCGCCGCTTAAGCCAGTCCACCGAACCACAATTAAGCCCTCATTTCCGGTCGTGAAACCATCGACCTATGTTCAACCTGGGTGAGTAACTCCCTAGAGTAGAATAACGGTTGAATCATTCGTATGTGCTAACGGTAAATCGTGTAGCTTCGAGCTTAGGGATGACGAGATATTTTGGACCACCCGCCCAATACCAACAAACCGTGGCGACTGGATTCGCAGTGTATTCGAACCATGGCCACTTGTGATTGCATCTTGGGCAGCTGGGGAGTATTTGGTTACAGTAAAGCTAGCAAAACTTCGAAAATTATTGGGGTTTGAGCCCACAGATCTGGTAGGGGAAAATACCGCCAACAATCAGGATAGCAGACCCCGCGCGGGTCCTAGTGGTCCGCCCAACGTTTCTCAGTCCCCTCAGAACTACCCCTTAATACCTAACACAACGCCAGGAGAAATTCCAAGACAGGGGACCTCCAACGACTTTCAGCCTCAAAAGCCCAGTTCCGCTTTACGGAACCAACCCAGCTTACTAGGCGAGTCTACCTCCGACATCCGCGATGCTATGAAGATATTTACATTATTCCTACTATTAACCCGGCAAAAAAACACAAATAAAACCCCGCAAAAGGGGGCTTTCAAGCTGAATGGCGTTGCCCGGTTTAGAGGCCCTAAAGGCGGCTGCGAAGCACATATTGTGGGAATCTACGAACCAGCGACAAAGAACTGGTATGCGATAGAAGTGGAGATACTTCACACATTTTCCTACAAATCGAACGCCGCTAACAGGCTACCGCCTCGAAAAGCGGTACTGGAATCGAAGGCGTCGGATTCTTGAAATTCTCATGGCCTAGATTAGAGTACACAGGACGCACTTGTACATTTATTATTATCATTGCTTTTTCCTTCCTATATGACAAGGTTCCTCACGTCAGGTGGTTCCTGTCATTTGTCATACTAACATTTTCTTCTTCTTTTTTTTTCCCAGCGGTTTTGGTTTTCTCTAGACATTTGCTTCCACGCACTGGCACTTTCTTGCTCACGCCACTTTTTATATATATCTTTTTTGCATCCGTGTTTATCTCGATTGGTGGGTGGCGGCGTCTAAGATGTTTTGCACGGGAAATATTAGGTAGTTGTTTTTAGGATGGGGATGAATAAACTTGTCCCCTTAAATATATGTATATATATGTCACGAAAAATCTGCCCAGATAATCAGCCTTTGATTAAGACGATGAAGCACGTCGTCACTGAGGACCCTGTCCATCTATTCTCGCAAAGGACCGAAAGCTTGTAACTAAGTGGACAACAATTGGATAAGCATGGGCCCTCTTTTAGGGAGGGTGCGATTATTCCAAGGTTATCTGCCACTGATGGCTTCTGAAGAGCCTCCGAGGAAAAATTTAAGCTGGGCTTTTTAGCCAGAAGGCGTCATAGGGGCCGCAGAGCAAAAGGGCTAGACTCCCTCTATTAGTATTATTATTATTATTATTATTATTATTATTATTATTATTATTATGAAGGTGTTGTCATCGTTGTGAGTTTCGCCGAGCGGGGAGCTAAAGCTAGATCCAAAATGAACTGATGTCATCCATGTTTTTATAACCAGCAACCCTTCCGCTTTCCATTTCAACCCACTTTCCATCTACAGAAAATCCTCCATATCTTTTCAATTCTGCCACTGGCTTCATACATTGAAGAAGCAAATTCTAACAAACCATCTCAATAAAATAAGAACACGCAAAATGACACTCGCACCCAAATTTGCCGGCCAGAAGCTCTCATCCGGAGGCATCCTGGAGACTAAGCATACACTGGAAATTTGTTAGTTGGCGTCCTAATCTCCTCGTTTCCCAATCCAATTCATAAATATTATTTGCCTGGTAACATATATAAACTACACAAAAACTTGACTACTAACCTCCCACAACAGACTTGGATTATGTTTGCCCCGTACGACCATCCAACCTTCCCCCTCCGTTCACATGCAATATAATCAAATCACGCTAAAAACTAAACAACCCCCAAGTACTCCGCCAAACTATTCAAAACCTTTTACCCAACCATAACCCCGCTCCTCAACAACCCCAACTCCACCTACCATAAAAACCTCCAGGTCATATTCCGCCAGCTAATCCAGCCCTGGCATCCGTCTTCAACCCTCACACACGAAGCGGGCGTGGCCGTCCTCAAGCTCGCGCCGGAGAAATTCTGGCCCTTTAGCGCCGCGCTGTTCGCGAAGCAGGCGGAGTTCTTCGATGTGAACGTCGTCAATGAGAAGAGGAACGACACGTATATGCGCCTGGCGAAAATCGGGGCTGAGGTCGGCGTTGATGAGGGGGCGATGTTGCAGTTGTTGACGGTTAGTGATCAGCCGGATAAGGATGGGGGATTGAATATAGGAAATGGTGTTACGAATGATTTGAAAGTGATGGTCAAGGTGTGTTTTATTACTCACCCAAGAGAGAGAGACATATACGTATATGGCGATGGGTACTAACCTGGACATTATTCAAAAGGCCGCGCGGTTGATTGGGGCGCATTTTACGCCTACAGTGTACTTCGATGTAAGTTCTTTTATTTGCTTTGCTTGGAGACCATTCGCAGGAATGGATGCGCGCAGGTAATGCTGCCTTATTTTGAAAAGCACGTGTCGTACTAACCAGTGGATGATTCGTTGTTTTTAAACAAAACAAAAAGGGCGTCGAGGAGAGATCCATTAGTAGCAGCTTCACCCGCGAACAATGGGAAGAATGGTTGCAGAAGAATGTCGTTTGATTCATTATTGGTACGGTCAGGGATTTGAGACAAACATGTCAGAATGAAGGGGAAAAAAGAAACGATGGTTGGAACTTCTGATGATAAAAGATAGGAAGAGAAGAGCAATGGGGAGTGGACGGGAGAGAGGCTATGGAAGACACATCCATGTATTACCTAAAAGTAATGATAAAACAAAGGGGTGAAAGGGGTGTGTTGGAGCGTGCTCAAGTGAGATATCTCGGTCTTTCAGCAATGGCGGAAAATAATAGCAAAGAGAAAAGTGAAATGAAATATCTATATGGGAGTTGGAAAATAACAAGGAGAGTCAAATTAAACAGATCGATATAAGGAATTTCGGGAAAACAATGCCTGGACTCCCAAAGTCGGTTTTGAAGCCAATTTCGAACAGCGTGAATGGATCGCTTGTGAGATCTACATTGCTCTTTAGAAAACTGGCTTTTATTATTGTGGACAAATGCAAGAACGCCCCGGCGTATATCATTAGTTTTTTTGTGTTCCTTTTGGAGCGAGGAGAGACGATAAGGTTAACTAATTGGTGGGTGGTTGGTAGTTAATCGGTCGCCTATATCATGTTAGTTCAGTCAGTTATGTGAGACGATAAGAGAAAGCACAAGAGCGCAACGCCAATTAGGATGGTGCAACGAATGGAGACGAAACAACTCACTTGAAGAGCAAAATGTGTGGCTCTGGCTCGTGCACTTCATAATGTTCCCAACCCAAGCTCTAAAAGAAGAGAGATATGGCCTGTCAGCTTGTTCCACGATAGGGGATGTACATTATTTGTACATGTACCAGACAGGATCAAAATACCTGCGTAATTCCCAGACCTCTCCACTCTTCCTCCCACAGTAGCTTCAGCGTCCCTTTGGAGGTGTCGAAATAGTCGGCGGGTATCTTTTTAAGCATATGTTTGGGGAGCTGGACATGGCGATATTCGAATTCATTGTCTGAATATCTATACAAATGGTATTAGACTGGAGGGGTTTCTCAGAGGTTTCTTCCATTTGTTTTTATTTTTTTTTCCCTTTCCTGGTAGTCAATGTAGTCTGTCTCCCCACGCGCGCGCAAACATAGGATGAACAGGGCAGTCGCTTTGTCCAGTATAGAAACACCGCACACGCGCACATACCTTGAAGAATAGTGTATGGAATCGATAAACTCCTCTAGTTCCTGCCTCTCCGGCTCCAGAAGTAGCCGGGGCTTCTTATTCCTTCGCGAGTAGTCGATGTTCATGATTACCAACGTAGCTGTTTTCTCTCACACACACACACACACGCGCGCGCGAGAAAAAATGAAAGAAAGATGAAAACGACTAGGTATCTAGGTTGGTAGCCTTCTTTGCCGTAGAGGTCGCGGTCGTCAGGGCCAAATCCGCAGGCGGGGAAGACGTTGGTTGACCGGGACACGAAAACCCGGAACGTAGATACGAGAGCGCAAGAAGTGTTGCTGTCAACGAGAAAGAGTGAGGTCTAACGGACTGGGATATAAGATGCCTTCAGTTCTAGCAGAAAAGGCGGAGAAGGCGTGCGGAATGCGAATGAAGGACACTGACTGCGGCACCACGAAGAGGAAGGGAAGCAAAGCTGCACCTTTTTTCTGTTGGAACTGCACAAAGGTGCGGGGTTTGCTTTGTTTCTAACCTTACAGGCTGTCACTGGAGAGAGAGTTCAAGCGTGTCCAGCAGCAGCAGCGGCGACGGCGGCAGAGCAATGGAGCGTCAGAAAGATATCGTGTTGGAGTTGGAGTTGGAGTTGGCAACTTCGAGTAGCGAGTGGATGAACAGGAAGAGTCCACAAGAGACTGACTACGGACTACTCTACTTATTACTGACTTGCAACTTGGGGCAAGGAAATAACGAATCGAGCTGTATCGCAGGCGTATGGTTCGAGTCCGGCGTTTTGTTTACTTAGTGGATACGCCGTTAATACGTAAATTACACCCCCCAGACGTGGTGTCGTACCATACCGTACCGTATCGGCCTGTTCTGGCCGCTGTGGCTGTCCAGCCTCCCGTAGCGAGCGATCGATCGAGACATCTCGTGATCAGCGCGTTCTAGCATCATCGCCAGTTCGACCGCCGCTGGTTGCGCTGATAGATCCAGCTCCTGACATTCTTCACCACCGTCATCTGCTCGCTTGTCTTCCCTAGCTGAACGAGCGCTGCTATTATCCGCCCCGCTTTATGTCCGAATCCCGCCGTCCATCCACTCACCACACGATTGCGAACCTGTCTCCTCAATCTTCCCCGAGCTCGTGCCGCACCTATTCCCAGAGAACTTCCGCAAGCATGACAACTAAACGGCGGGGGACCGTCGCGGGGTCTCCAGAGGGTCCAACAAAGGGCCAGAAACGTCGCAGGACCTCAGTAAGTCTGTCATTCTGTGATTTTCTACCATTGATTTCCCGAAGCTGGTGGGGATTGTTTTAGGGGTAGAGAGTGCGAAGTGCGATCTGTTGCCCGACGCCCGCTAGATACCATGTTCCCCCGCGTCCCCACCCGTCGCTTGTGTTATATATGTGCTTTGGTCTAAATATATGAACTAACGGCCGATGCGACCAGACTTTTGTCCCCGAAACCGACGAAACTCCCGAGAAAACTACAGAAGCTGGTCTAGAACTAATCGCGCAAATCAAACAGGCTACTGATAAGCAGTATGTGCTTGGAGCTCTAGTGGAGCTTTGCTTGCTTGGCTAAGATGGAGAGAGGCTAACCTATACATCTGTTCCTTCATGGCAGTGGACAACTCGTTGCAACTGAATTCATTCATCTTCCTAACTGGGTGAGCTTCGAGACAGCTTCCTCCCTCTAAAGAAACCCCAACTGACCCTTGTCCGTATATAGAAAGAAAACCCGCATTATTACCAAGCCATTCGGCTTCCCATTGCCCTAGATACAGTGGAGGTAAGTTTAAATTTGTCCATAAGCGATTTCTCACGATATCCTTTCCGTTAAACCAATAGTGCGTAATTTGGTCACTGATGCGTGTATTTAATGGTGTCTAGAACAAACTGAAGAAGCACCAATACCCCTGTTTGACTCCCGTGGAAAGCGATCTCCGCAGGATGGTCAGCAACGCTAAATACTACAATGATAAAGGCTCAATGATTTTTTCGAACGCGGAGCGCATACGGAAATTAATAGCAAATAAAATGTCCATCATAAACCCAGCATATAACGATCCAAACTACGCCCCGTTTGCTACCCCTATACCAGAGGAGGAAGACGCGGATGACGAAAAGGTGTCTCCTGAAACCGGAAATGGGGCTGATGCTGGAGATGAAGAAGAAAAGAAATCCACAACCGAGACACCAGCCTTGGATCAGGTGGTCAACCAGAACGATAACGAAAACTTCAACTTCGAGGGGGAAACGTATGAAAGTGCCCAGGAAAAGATAATCACCGGAATGATTCGATTGAAAGATTCAGAGTGAGTTAACCTTTGTGACACCGTGGCTATGCTTCGACTCTAGGCGAGTACTGACGTTCCTTCAGCGGCGAAGAAGTCTTTTTTCCCTTCCTCAGTATGCCAGATCGGAACTTGTACAAGGAGTACTATGAAATAATAAAGCACCCTGTGTCTCTAAGAGCTATCCTAAAACGCGTTCGAGGCACAGACGGACGGAAGAATTCTACGAAAACCACGCCGTTTAAAACGTGGGACGCGTTCGAGGAGGAAGTCAGCTATATCTGGCGCAATGCCAGGGAATTCAATGAGGACGGGAGCGAAATAGTCGCGCTTGCGGGCTCGCTTGAGGTATTTGCTATTGCAATGCATGCTTTTTTTTACTCCTGTTATTTTTTTTTTTTTTGCTAATCGAAGTGCTAGGAATATTTCCGTCGACTTCTTGCGGAGGCACGAAAGCAGGTTCCTGAACCTCCACCCACCACGAACGGCGATACCCCGGGTCCTCGTATTAAACTCCGCATGGGAACCACGAAGACTCCAGAACCAGCGCCGCAGAAACTGACTTTGCGACTTCCGGGAAAAGTTGGTGACCAATCGACGGACATGGAACATCGCCAAGGCGGAGTTTCTATAGATACTGAAGCCCTACGGAGGCAACAGGAGCACGTTAAGGCAAGTTCAAACGGCCTCGAAGTTCCAGATCGACCAACACCTCCAAGAAGAACCCTAAGAGATCGGTCGGGGTCTGGAACAAGGGCTGTATCGACGCGAAGCACGCGCTCGCAGGAGCAAGAGAGAGAGCAGCGAAATGCACAAGGAGCATCGCCTGTTCGGCCCTCTTCTGCTGTCAAAGTTGAAAGTACAGGGCCATCGACGCCAAATCTAAGAAGCCTGGCAAGCCAAGAATCCATAAAGCCGCTCCACGATGCGCATCGTCGAGTTGCTTCCGGCTCTGCTGAGCCATCAAAATTGATGACCCCCTCGGCAGGTGCTGTCCCCATGCAACCTAACAACACCCAAGAAGTATTACAACAGTTCGGCTCCCGTTCATACCCATACCCATCTCCTGTCCCGGCGGTGTCCCCGATGGACTTGAGAGCAAGGCAATCCGGCAAAGGTAAGAATGTGTATTAGATGAAAGCATATCCCTTCATAGAGAAAGTCCAAAACTAAAATGTTCAAATATTATCCTAGGCCCCTTAATATCCCATGTCAGGCTATTCAGCCATCCAAACCTCAACCTACGACAATCATTCCTTCTAGATATCCCACCCTCATCGACCCAAACGCAACAGTCCATAACTATCAACCTCCCCGCGAAATCCCACATTCTCTGCATCACCCCAACGATTATCCCAAGCTCGGTACAACGCCAGACGCAGCTCACCGTTACCGTCGGCAACAGTCAACGGTTATCCCCGATGCTGTCACCGTCGCGAACCATGGACCCGACCAAACCCTATTATGAGGTCCGGCTGGGCATCGGCATTACCAAGATTGATATTGAAATGAATGCTAGTAGCAGTGCCACCCGCGGAGGGAATGGGCTGAAATCATTTCCCGGACAAGATGCGGAGTATGAGCGATTGACAGTCTATGCTAACCTGATGAGAGTGTGAGATTTAAGTGCCAATTCGGAGCGGGGTTGGGAAGTTGTTATCTTGTTTGCGGTATCCTCACGGACGGACACAGAGCTCGTTGGATTCGATGAAGCTGCGAACTATCCTTGCACATATTCTTAGTTCTTTTTTTCTTTTTTTTTTTTTTTTTTTCCTTTTTTTTTTTTTCCTTTTTTCCCCTTTCGTTCTTTCCTACACTCCCTCTATCTTCCTTCTTTTCTTTGTTCTCATATATTTGTTTTTCTGATATATGGTTTTGGCGGCGATATCAGGCGCGTATGGGTCTTCGAGTGGCGTGTGGCAGATTCAATCAAGGGGCGGCCAATTCCCGGAGTTTATGTGCTTCTCAATCAGCTGTCATTTCTCAGCAGGCGCTTTTCTTTTTCTTTGTATTAATATAGGTTCATATAGTTATCTAGTTCGCTAGGGAATAAATTTACAGCAGTTTTCACACACAGCTAATTATTTTATTTTTATTTATTTCTTCCTACTCTACTACTCAAGCGCAGTTCAATATTATTAAATGGCAATGTGCAATGTGAAATGCCGAGGGAAAGGCGTGCAGGTGATGTTGCTGACTCAGCGGCAATTGCCTCGCACAATGTCCCAAACAGGCTAGTCCCAAACAGGCTAGTCCCAGCCCGACACCGAAAAAATTCATTTTTTTTTCAACGCTATTTTCTTTTTTAATTTTTTTAATTTTCTCTTTTTAATTTTTTCTCCAAAACCTTGTGGTTCGCATAAATAAAAAACCTCCAAAACAAAAAAAAAAAAAAAAAAATCTCAAAACCCTTGACAGGATCCTCGCTGTCTTTGCTTGTTCTTCCTCCTCCGCCCCTCATCAGTCTTCTTCTTCTCCCTCTCATCCTCCTCCCTTCGTTATTCTCCTCTTCTCTCATTTGACGATTCAGAGAAATACGTCCTAAAAAAGATAATAAAAACACAGCACATCTTTCATCATGTCTGACGAAGTTTATGAGGGTGCCATTGGCATTGACCTTGGTATGTTTTTTTTGTTAATGTTTTTTTTTTTTTTTTTTTTTTTTTTTTTTTTTTTTTTTTTTTCTTTACCCATGCCCTTTTAACCCCTCCACACTGCCTATTTTCCTGGACACAAAAACAAAATGATATATTGGATATCATATATAATAGAATAACAGAATCACCGGGTATCGATTGAACATAATAGCTAATATTACTCTTCTACGCTACAGGTACCACCTACTCTTGTGTTGCTAACTATGAGGGCAACAATGTTGAAATTAGTATGTGTTATCCCCACCACACCAATCTTGCATCCAGCCAGGACAACATTCCGCGCACACAGAGATACACATATGCACTACCCCTCCTGCACCAACTGCTAGCACCTTCGACGTCGGGATAATTTGGAGCATTAGTGTGCTAACAGTGGGATCTTCTTTTCGCGCCACACAGTTGCCAACGAGCAGGGTAGCTTTACAACCCCGTCGTTCGTCTCCTTCACTGATGATGAGCGTTTGATCGGTGAGGCGGCCAAGAACCAGGCTGCGATGAACCCTGAAAACACTGTTTTCGATATCAAGTAAGTTTGTTTTCTTTCCAGAATTGTGCTCTTGGTTTTTATTTATTTCATTTTCATTTTTTTTTATTTTCTTTTAAATAAAGGAATAGCTACTAACCCAGCTGCAATAACAGGCGTCTGATTGGACGGAGATTCGACGACCCGATTGTCAAGAAGGATGTCGAGTCGTGGCCCTTCAAGGTCATCGACCAGGGTGGAAACCCCATTGTCCAGGTTCAGTATTTGGGCGAGACCAAGGCTTTCTCTCCCCAGGAAATTTCGTCTATGGTCCTGATGAAGGTGCGTAACATGAAACCTGTGTTTTTATATACATGGTTATGTATCAATATTCAGAATCGTGATCGAAAAACTAACTTGGTGTCCATATAGATGAAAGAGGTTGCTGAGACCAAACTCGCCAAGAAGATCTCAAAGGCTGTCGTTACCGTCCCAGCATACTTCAACGACAACCAAAGACAGGCAACCAAGGATGCCGGTGCTATTGCGGGCTTGAACGTCCTCCGTATCATCAACGAGCCTACTGCTGCTGCCATTGCCTACGGTCTTGGCGCTGGCCGCTCCGAGAAGGAGCGAAACGTCCTCATCTACGATCTCGGTGGAGGAACTTTCGACGTTTCGCTTCTTAACATCCAGGGCGGTGTTTTCACCGTCAAGGCTACTGCCGGTGATACCCATTTGGGAGGACAGGACTTTGACACCAACCTCCTCGACCACTTCAAGAAGGAGTTCCAGCGCAAAACCAAGAAGGATCTCTCCGGCGACCCAAGAGCCCTCCGGCGTCTGCGCACTGCTTGCGAGCGTGCTAAGCGTACCCTCTCCAGCGCAACCCAAACCACCGTTGAGATCGATTCTCTCTTCGATGGCGAGGATTTCAACGCCCAAATTACCCGTGCTCGCTTTGAGGATTTGAACGCCAAGGCCTTCTCTGGCACCTTGGACCCGATCCAACAGGTCCTCAAGGACGCCAACATGGACAAGAGCAAGGTTGACGAGATCGTCCTTGTCGGTGGCTCCACTCGTATCCCCCGTATCCAGAAGCTCCTCAGCGACTTCTTTGATGGCAAGAAGCTCGAAAAGGTATGGGAGATGTTTACATATACATATACCCCCTCTTTTTCGTCTCATTCGTTCTAGATAAACTAATCAATCACATAGAGCATCAACCCCGACGAAGCCGTGGCTTACGGTGCCGCTGTTCAGGTATTTAAGAAAAAAAAAATCCCTTAGCCCCTAACCTTACTAACTGTTATCTAGGCCGGCATCTTGTCTGGCCAGGCCACCTCCGCCGATACCAGCGATCTGCTCCTTCTCGACGTGATTCCTCTATCTCTTGGTGTTGCAATGGGCATGTTTCCCTTTTTCAATATCCCCTTTTTCAAAAATAACTTACTAACATTTTTTATAGAGGGCAATATCTTTGCTCCAGTTGTCCCGCGTGGACGTACCGTTCCTACAATTTGCAAAAAGTGAGCAATTCTTTTCGAAGTATCATACCAACTGCGATTACTAACGTATATCTGCCATTTCTAGGACTTTCACCACTGTTGTAGATAACCAGCAGACAGTGAACTTCCCCGTCTTCCAAGGAGAGCGCACTAACTGCGATGATAACACTTCGCTGGGAGAGTTTACCTTATCCCCTCTGCCACCCATGAGAGCCGGAGAAGCCGCTTTGGAAGTTGTCTTCGAGGTTGACGTCAACGGTATCCTGAAGGTTACCGCCACTGAAAAGTCCACTGGCCGCAGCGCCAACATCACCATCTCCAACGCCGTCGGCAAGCTTTCTAGTACTGAGATCGAAAACATGATCAATGGTAAGACATATCCAATTCCCCTTGTCCAAATAAACAGGTTTAAAAATCCCATTCACTAACGCGCATATTCTCCAGACGCCGCCAAGTTTAAGTCTAGCGACGAGGCCTTCAGCAAGCGCTTCGAGTCGCGCCAGCAGCTCGAGTCCTACATCTCTCGCGTCGAGGAGATCATCTCCGACCCAACCATGTCGCTGAAGATCAAGCGTGGTAACAAGGACAAGATCGAGTCCGCCCTCAGCGATGCTATGGCCCAGCTCGAGATCGAGGACTCCTCCCCCGAGGACCTCAAGAAGAAGGAACTGGCGCTCAAGCGATTGATCACCAAGGCGATGGCTACCCGATAAACTTGTTCCCTTTTCATTATTTTCCCCCCATCCGTTTTTCATGTCCGCTTTTTCCCTCCCGTTTTGTGTTTGTCAATACACGTTTCCCGGGTGTTTGTTTATTTAATTTGTTTATGTTTCTTTTTTATTATCTAAAGAAAAGGGGAGAAAGGAAATGATAGAAAGCGCTTTTTTTCGCATGTTACCATTTTTGTGCCCTGCGCGTGCGCAGGGGAGAGTGGGGCAATGGGGGGCCGCGCCGTTCGGGTTTGCGCTGTGCCTGTTCCCCTATAGCTGGCTATCCTTCATGCCTTGTTGCTGTGTTATAATGAGAATGATCTTTTCCTATCTACATACTTTGATCGATCCCACGCCATGATGAAGATAAGACGAATTATATTCCTTTTTCATCTTTCCCTTTTTCTCCTGTTTCCTAAGATCTCTAGTTTTTTTTTTTTTTTTTTTTTTTTTTTTTTTTTGTTTTGTTGTGTGTTTGTGTTTCGTTTTAAACCGCCAGCTACTAAGACGTGTGTGATGTCATGAACTAGAGGGCTTGTCTTTCTTCAAATTGATGCTCTCTTCTCTCCCTTTTACGCCTCTCACGCACTTTCTTATCACCTTCGCAGTACTTTTTACAGCTGTTAGAAAAAGTTTTTGCTTACTTTATATCTGTTTTACTAAGAAGCGTCTTATCAGAATGAACTCTGAAACGAATGAAAGACATATATACATATATGTTCATCCTGGTTCCCCATCTATAAAATTGTGAATTGGATTTCCTGCAGGCTGTCTAGTTTTAGTACATGTACATGTACAAAGGCTCCCCATACTTAGCCTACCGATATCAATTATAATGTTGAACCCTTTCGGTCGAAGCATGAATTTTCCAAAATTGCGCGTTGATGAAGACAGCGCCTTGAAATACACAATCATCCGAGAACAATGGGTTTTGGGTAGCATAGACAGTTGCAATCCTGGCGATGTAAGGCTTCACTGAAGCATTTCCGCCGCCAGCAGTTTTCCAAGTGTGGAGAACATTGCACCAAGAATAGCAACTTGACCCTTCTATGCGAAACAAATCTCCCGTACTTCTCCCGTACTTCCACTGGCCTAAATCGTCTTACGAGTAGATAAATGCATGCTAGATAAAATCACCGCTCCAATTCTCCATAACTGAATCTCGTGCCTGTTTCTGCGCTTATGATTATTTCAAATTTGCGAAATTAGCCGATTGGAATGATGATTTTCGTATGGTCTCCACTGGAAAGTTTTCCACCCCGTCGTTCTGGATCCGCGCCAAGCCCGACCCGAGATATGGAGCCGACTCGGCTTGCCGATGGCGGAACTCACCTCCATTGATCTTGTGACTTCGTGAAGTAAACAAACTCTGCTGACCTGGATTCCATCTCGAACTTCTGATGTTGGCTAGTAGGCGGGAAATCCAATACTGATAACAATGGAAGAAAGCCTGGCTGCTCAACAGCTGCACAGCTGACTTTCATGAAACCGTCCTGTCAATTTTTCCACTGCAATCAGCAAAGGCAAGGATTTGAGCAGCTGTTTGACACTGCACTACAACACGATCCTGCCGGGATATCCCACGCAGCATGAATACCTCAATTATAAATAGGGATAAGCCCTTCGGGCTTGAGGGTGGTAACATATTCAGCTAGAGAAGGGCTCCAACCGTCGCACTGTGGATTTCGCAACGTGCATGTGGTTGGCGGCTGCGGCCACATGGGAGTCAGAAAAGAGTGTCGCTTGGGCTTACGTTCACAGTAGTTGGTTGATTCCAACCCCCTTTGTTCAGAAAACCGGCACGGTGTGTACTGTATATCGATTGGCCTTTACATGAGAGATGGGGAAGTTCCCGTCGTCAAATCTGACCCTTGACTTGCTGTATGCAGTCACCTGAAGGAAACTTCCTTTCACCCATGTTTGCGGCTTAAAACCAGGCATCTTAAAGCCTCTCGTTTTCAAATACTTTCATTGCACATTTTTCTGTCATTTGAATACCTGATATTTAACCGGATCGGGAAACTTATTTCCGAAAGGCCATGGCTCCTACACAGCGATTCAGAGACATTACAAGCTTGACGGCTGAGGCTGCGCACGACATGGAGCGGGGGTTTTGGATCCCGTAGACCCTCCACTTTTGAAGCAGAACCATTTCTGAATTTTATTCTTCGCTTAGAGCCCTACCAGTGCTGTCTGCTGGTTAGGTTTTTCGCGATCTCGTCGCCCAATTTCGCGATGGTTATTGACGCAAGATCACAAGCCTACGCAGCGGCTCCGAGATCCATGCTGTCAATCCCGAGCTTCTTCGAGGTTCAGATTAAGAAACTCATGGAACAAAACAATCCCGATGATGATATTTTTATGGTATCCCCTCGCAACAATCGCAAAGCTGTCCTAAAATCGATGAGCTTGCCTGCCTGATACATACGCCTTGGCCATCTTGCGGCTGACACGATTGTCGAATTGGCTCGAGACTCCCGGTCCGGTGTCACCATATCCGATCCCAAGATTTTATCTTTTTGTTTAGTATGCACGAAGGCAAAGCAGAAGGAGAAGTCTATAAGAACATAACCCCTGCGCGGGCGATCCACATCGATATAGCCGGCCGGACGCTGCCCGATGACTTGACTTGACAAAGTTCTACCTAAGGGTGTTACAGACAATGCCACTCGTATGGGGTGGATTTTCTTTCTCGAGAATAAAACCAATGAATAAAGAACTTGCTCAATTTGAAATCAAATCATCTTATATCTCCTGCCAGTTCTTCATACATTAAATGCTAAGATCAAACCAAACAACCTTCTTGATTACTGATCTTTCGGAACTAAACCCAGATATGTTCTATGTTCTCAGCTCATGTATGCAGATGTCATGATCCAGGGTGAAATCCCATGCTGATGTATTTTTACAGCCATCTCTGCAGCCGATATATATAAAATATGACCGACCACCACCCCAACATCGTCAATCTTCTCCAACTCAATGCTATCCAACCATTTCCCCTTAATAGCCGATGGGATATATACACGATAAGATGGCTCACACTGCAATTTGGGCGGGCCAGGTCTGTTTCTCCTACTCTACATGCCATCAGAGGGTTCCGCGAAGCCCAAAGCAGCAGGCAGCTCTATATAGAGAGTGTGTTATAATTATAATTCACTGTGTTGTAAACATTGCCGGCCGTATGACATTCGCCAGAGCATAGCTGTTCAGAGGCAATCCAGCTAATTTCCCTCTACTAGGAGCAGCTGGTATTCTGTATGTCTATACCTATCTTTGCTTTACCTCAAGCTTTTTTCAATCAATCAGTCACTCCAGAAGTGGCTGAAGAATAATACAAGCCATGCAAATTTAGCTTTTGGGGATATCGATATCAATGAGCCCAACGACAAAATTTCGGACGCTTTCGACGACTTTTGGCAAGGTGTTGAAAAGCAAACCAAGGATAACCTGGGTTAAAGGGTAGTTGACCAAACGATTGGCCTGTCTAATAGGGGTACCTTTAACATGATACGAGGTCGCTTCTATTGTTCCAGCAGTCGAGTGGATTCCTCTGTAATGCAGCTATAATCCCTATTTTCTCGCATCTGACTTGCCAATATAAAACCAGAGCTTCTTTGCTTCCTCTTCTGGCAAGACTTCTGATTTTCTCTGAATAAAAGTTGGAATAGTTCATTATGCCTTGCTTGAACTTTCTCAAAGTCAAGTTGGGGCGGTACCCAGCCGGCATCATCTGAATGCAGCAGCTCCTGTGTGTATTCTTTTACTTTATGCCAATCCTTGTACTGAGAAAGCTGAAGTCTGTACCTTGATAAATCGTTGCTTGTAATTCGGTAAGGTCAAGGTTCAGAAAGCCCTAATTTGTGCCAATTTTCTGAGATCTGTGTCAAGAGCGGGACTTATCCCTTCCTTCCACATGTTTTCAGGGCATGAGAGCAAGTCCTGTATCGCTGAGTCGACTCGAGTCAAAGCTAAGTATGATTCAAGGTGACTCTTAACAAGAGCCGCCTCGTAGCATTTTGATAGCAAAGCTTTGTTTCTCTCTGTTATCGCGAAAGCCTTCTCATCAGAATCCATTTGGTCAAAGTTTGGTGGTAGCTCCGGCTAGACAATCCCAACTTCGTAATTTTCGGGTGGGCTAAGTAAGAAAAGACGGCCACTGGACTTGCATAAATAAACGCGGGCATTTATTATTGATACAAATTGCCAATCTATTATGCCGACGATAGTTGTTGGGGTCTTGGTTGCAAACAAATATATTGCCCAAATGAAAGTCCCCATTGCCATAGGATAGATAGGGCTGGTCTAGAGAAGCGTTGGAGGGTATTTAACTAACTAGCATGAGCCGCTAAATAATCTCGGTATTATTTATTATTTATTATATCTCCATAGCAGTTTCCAAAACATGAATATGTTGGAACAATTGTCGAGTGTTGTATTTATTATACATGCGCAAGGCCACGATTATTTAGCCAATGCAAGACCAAGGTCTGAAAGGCTCGACCCCTATCGATCCAGATAAATAAATACGCATGTTATTAATAGTATGGGCTGTAAGTTAGTACAGAAGGCTCGGATATGACAAACATGGGCCTATTTAAATATTTAAACACCACGACATGTTAGAGATATATTTCTAGACATAGGTTTTGACGGCGAAAATGCCATTTTCAAAATTCCAGTTCGTATTCTCTGCATGGTTGATTGCTCTATTTATTAATACAAGATTTCGGTCAAAGAATCATATTTAATGGAGGCTAAATATTTAAGCTAAATAAATAAATAAATAAATATTTAAATAAATATTTCATTTTCGTACCTATTTACATTAAACTCTTTGCCTCCAGCAAACTTTGGAGATAAAATTACAACTCTTAACACCCCTCACCTTACACACCCTACACACTAGCCATGCCTCCCGTTATTCGCTCTCTCAGTTCAGAGGTTTTCTCTCTTCTCTCTTTTAGAACCACAAGCACCAATGGCTCGTTGCGCGCGCTCATCGTCCCGATGAGCTACCGCAGCTCCGTCATCACCAGCGAGAAATCCACTTTCCAATCATCCTTTTACAACAGCAACCCACTTACACTCCCTCGTACAACTGCGCCCAGTTTCCGTGTACAACCATTCTCTACAACCTCCCACCTCTCCAAGAAAAAGGACAAGGGCAACAAGGCCTCCCGAAACTCAGACGGTGGGTCGGGCAGTGGCGCGGCAGAGGCAGCTGGGTTAGATGGCGATGATCCATTTGGATTTTCACAGCTGGAAAATGACATAGCCGGGGCCGTACAGAGGTTGAAAGATGATATTTCGAAGCTGAGGGCGGGCGGCAGGTTTAACCCGGAAGCGATTGAGACATTGCGCGTGGCTGTGAGCAAGGGGGACGGTAAAGGGAGCAAGGAGACAGTGAAGCTAGGAGAGTTGGCACAGGTTATTCCCAAGGGAGGGAGAATGCTGACTATTTTGGTAGGAGAGGAGGAGGTATGTAAATATACCGTTTTCTGTTCATTTTTTGTGCATCTACTTTTTACCCGCGCCGGGGGGGGGGACGGGGGGACCGAGAAACATTTCAAATCATGCCTCACAATTCTGTTCGAAAGATCCTTGAATATCTAATTGCCCTGCCATTGCTCCCGCAGAAGTCTTTCTTTCATATACTAATCCTTCCCTTCTAGTATATAAAACCCATAACCTCCTCCCTTCTCTCCTCCAGCCTATCCCTAAACCCTCAACCAGACCCACACAACAGCCTACAGCTCAACGTCCCCATCCCGCCACCAACCAAGGAGTCACGCGATCAATCGGTTAAGGATGCGAAGGCCGCCATGGATAAGGCATCTACTGCCGTGCGTAACGCCCGCGGCGCCATAAACAAGAAGCTGAAGAACATGGGCGTCAAGAAACTTGTGAGACCGGACGATTTGCATAAGCAGGTAGAGAAGATGGAGAAGATTGCAGAGAAAGGGCAAAAGGAGGTTAAAGATGTTTTTGAGGCGGCGAAAAAGGCCCTGGAGGCCTAGTTTTGTAACTTCTTGTTTATTTGTACCAGGGGGCGTGAAAACGGTCGATTGATCGCAGGGGTAGGTAGATTGCTGTATAACGGAGGAATTCAGGGTGCTGTAGGATACATACACGGGTTTTTGCCATTTTCTTTTTTTTTTTTTTTTTTTTTTTTTTTTTTTTTTTTTTTTTTTTTTTTTGGGAGTAGTTGGGATATACAGGTTTATATAAAGAGCTGCGCACATTATCTGAAGAAACACGTATCTAAAAGAGATATGCAAAAACCTGTGGTCGATATGATAACAATAGTATACAATTTATGAATCTTATTCGAACAAAATACACAAAATAACCTAGTAGGAAACAAGCCCTGTTTATTTTAGAAATGACCTACCCTACGCTTTGGCCCGCACAGCCTTAGGCTTCGGCAACGACTTCGACAATGCCTCCAAAAATTGTGTTTTATGGGATGACTGCCATGTTGAATTATTCGCCAAATTCCTCAATACATCTTTCATAACTGGGTGTCTTGCTCCGTGCTCTTTCACCCACTGCGCTTGCTCGGATTTGTACTCGCCCGAAACAAGTCGCGAAACCAGCTGCATCTTCTGCGTCTCATCAATAGGCTGAAATGACATGTCCTCCGGCTGAACCAGCGAACCCTTGCGATCCGTCAATTTATCCGCGCGCTCCGCCGCCATTTTCTGTGCCAACTCTACTGCCTCGTTTTTCTCCTCCTCGTTATAGAAATATGTCCATTTACCTTTATGGATGCGTTGGGCTAGTAGATCTGTAGGCTCGAAACCGTTGGGGTACCGCTCACTCATCCATGCTAGCCGTTCATGCAGTGCTTCCTTAGGGCCAGTCGTACCCATTGGCAAGGCCGGCCACGTCCGCTGTAGATTATCGATATTATAACCGTGCGGATTGTAGCGGACTGGCTTGGGACGGTCGCGCTCCCACTGTTCAAGAAAAGCCTTCTCGTCCGCTTCCTGCTCTTCCTTGGACATCTCGCGTTGTCCAGACCACCTGCCACTGCCGTCACTTTTGGACGACTTGTCCTGTTTCTTGCGGCGGGCCGGCCGGGTCGTTGCGGGACGCTTAGGGTTTCTGGCCCCGAGAGGGCCACTTCCGGGTTTTCTCAGAGTAGCGGGCGCGCGGAGGATATTAGTGGGTTTTGCGCCCGTTTGGTTGAGTCTGGAACCGAGTGCACGAGCATCGAGTGGTCGACGTTGCGGTTGGGGGCGAGCTAGAGAGCTAGGGGAGCGGGCATCGAGAGGTCGACGCTGCTGAAATTGTCGTTGACGGGGAGGGGGTTGGGAGTCGTCGGAGACACGGCGAATGAGGGGGGTGGAGGAGGATCGTGAAAATGTGGTGTCAACTTTCTTTTTAGCCGTCTCGTGAAGAGAGTGTAGACGGTTTTGTTTTTCTAGTTAGAGAAATGAGGGTTAGTATGAGGTTCTTTCGTTCAGCTTAGAACAACCAGGCGAAAACCCCAGTCCATTGGAACTATCTTCAACGTCGCCAAACCATACCTTTTGAGTCTGCATCATTCTCCACTGCTCTGACCGACGACGAAGAAAAGTGTCGGCCAGATCTAGCCGCTACTGCTCCCTGACTCCATTTGCTGGCCGCTGAGTCGACGATGGCAACCCACGGGCGCCCGCCTTGCGGCTTGAGCATATTTGTAAATTGGGCACTATCGCCCCGCAAGGTTCACGACGAACGTAAAACTAGTCCCCTTCACCAAATAGTTGAGTAAAGAGACCGGGGCTCGTCAATGCATGGATGCGGGTGCCGTGGTAAAGTGCATCGAGACATTTTGGTGAAAGATGAAGATGGAGCAGGGAGAATTTTAGTCATCACGTGACGTTTAGACATCCTCAGCAAGTTTGTGCCGTTGCCTCTGCATTGAAGGCGCATAACATTCTTTGCAATATTGATCAACGGTTCTACTCTCAACTCGCTGGATTTCCTCCTCTGGATCTACAGACTCCTTATCATTATTTATCTTAGTTTTTAAATTACCAGATCTCTATAGGGGTCCACCGCAACGCTAGTACAAAACCCATCATCACCACCAATTTCAACCTTTCCGGGGCAGCTCCATCCGCCCTCCCAAAATCCAGCCCAACCAAACCAACCAAAACCAAATCAAACGAGAAAAGAATATATATACGGAATGCTTCGCCGGAAACCCACAGCCATAACCATCACCACCGAAGACATAGCCGCCTTCGAAAAAGCGCGCCTACGCCAGCAACAACTCAAAGAGAACAACAACCAGCAACAAATCAACTTCTCAAGCAGCACGGGCAGCAGTGGAATCGGCGGGCCCTTTCAATCCAGCTCTGCGACGTACGATCCTAATGATGAGTTGAAGCCGCTGCCTGGTGATAAGGCGCGGATTGTGCGCACGCGAGATGAAAGGATTGGCTTGGGGAGAGCAGGGTGAAAGCGCTACTTTACCTTTTTCTGTCTTCTCCACCTTGGTTGGTTGAAGTGATCGAGTGGGATGAGCTAGAGCTGGTTTGAATAGAGGGTGTTTCTCTCCTTGGCTTTACTTAACACTCTTATGTGCCGCACTCGGATGGATCCATCTTTCTTTGTGGGCGGCAAGTTCCTTTGTGAGCTACCTATTCAGAGAGGAGCTTGCGGGGAGTGAACGAGACAAGAGGTTTCGAGGTGAAAGTGGAAGTGGAATCGGGGTGAGGTTGTGTGAGGTCTTCACCACCCCATGAGGGTGAACGATCGATCCCATCGTCCACATTCTCATTTGAATTCACTCATTGCGAAGACTGGACTAAAGAAACACGGAGCTTGTTTTAAGCCGATGGCTTCTACCCACCACTAGCTCATACTACCAGTTGGGAGTTGCTCTTTACCACCCGTCTCACAAAAACTGGGTATAGCGCACGGTCCAACCATTGTTTCCGGCTGAAGACCGAATAATTGCTTCCATTTCCCTTCAAACTCCTGCCAACCTGGAATTATACGGACTAGCGACAGCCCCAGGGCATTTTGCCCCATTGCAATGAGCGACCTAAAATAAAACAAAAATCCATTAAAAAGTTGAAGAAGGTAGAATATTCAAGTTACGCCATTTCCGGTTTTTCAACTTTATCCGACGAGCTTTAAATGTGATTTGGGAAGATGGTGGTTACATGGTTACAAAGGGTATGATCTGTGTTGGCAATGAGAGCTCGAGGGTTAAGAAGTTCAGTAACAGATGTTCCATACACAAATACCCCCCTGCCCCCATTCGCAAAACCGCGGAGCAAGCATGCATGCTGTTACGCGCTCGCCATCGACACGTGCGTGGGCGGGCCTTCTATCCCATCAACGCTAATGCCGAACGGTCTGCCTGGTTTGAAGGATATGGAGGCAGGACATAGTGAGGGGAGGAATGATGACACCTACTTTCTCGCACGGATAGCTGGCTGCATGAGCAAGGTGTTGCATCTATACGTGTAATTGCCAGGTCATGTTAAAATAGCCTTTCTCATTGTTTGATGCCTCATCTCTTTTGAATTTACCTTTCGAAACCATCCGTGAACACCGCACCTGTACTCCCTTCAGTTATAAACTCAAAATCGCAAAGGGGAAAAGGGGGCGGAGGAAATAGCTACAATAGATGGAGATAACAATATCTATCTATACACAATCACGCAATGTACACATCTTTTTGTTCTCTTTCCTTTATTCTGTTTTTTTTTTTTTTTTTTTTTTTTTTTTTTTTTTTTTTTTTTTTTTTTTTGGCTACGCTAGGTCGCCGCTTTCCCTCCTATCTCAAGATCGGATTTTCAGCAACTGAGCCAAATCGAATCGACTCAGAGGAAAGGGGACGTAGGGAAATGCCAGTTGGCCAAATCCTCACATCCCTCGTAAACCAATTAATAGAATAAAATTATAGCAAAAGATAAAAATAAAATATAAAATAAAAGAAAAGAAAAATAAAAAGAAAAAGAAAAGAAAAAGAAAAAAAAGAAATTCAAAGCCCAATCGCCTGAATCCTCAATGGAATCAATTGTCTAATGTACAGGCACATACGAAACAGGAACATGACAAGTAACAAATAGCCTCCCATCCAAACCATGGGCCTCCTTTCCAATAACAAAATAAAAAGGGATATGAAATAAAAGTTGAAATAGATGGAAGAAGGAAGGGAAAAGGTGAGATGAGAGGAAAAGGTGTGAAAAGAAAAATGGGTCTAGCGACCACATACAACATTTAGACACGGGTGTCCATCATCCTCTAACAGATGCGGGCAGCCGTTCCCAAATACTAGATAGTAACTTGTAATGGATACCCAGGCCTGGTTAAGAAACCGAAAGGGCCAGAAATATATATATATATATATGTGTGTGTGTATGCTAAACAAGAATAGTAATTAAGCAGAGCAGTAAGAACAAACGCAAAAATCGCACACATTCGTCCCATCATAGCAGAGAAAAATTAACATAAAACGCATCGATGTGTTCTCGTTCTTCGAAAGAAGCAAATGGGGCCGTTAAATATCGGGGTATATATGGGAAAAAATCTGTATGTTGTTTTTATCTTTATCTTTATCTTTTTTCTTTTTTGTTCGTTGATCAAGCATGGGTAAATGTTGGTATGAGTATATAAATGGTAATCGGATTAACATGATTGGGGAGTTGCAGGACCGGTATGATGTCACGATGTGATGCCTCGAGTCCGAAAACGACTTGGTTGCACCCCTGGACTATGATTGTCATGAATGACAAGCATTATATCTAAAATCACCTTAGATAGTCACCACTATCGATGCAAAATGTGTTTGGATATGGAAATGCATTGGAAACGGGAACAAGTTCCCGCATCAAGCTTGGCGCAACAGCACAATCTCTTGAATACTAGCACATGCATCTACCATATGGTCCGGAAGGCGGGTAGTCGTCCCATGGTATTTCACGGGTGCGTAATGGTGAGAATGGAGCGCTCTTCTCACATTCATCCGCGGTCCTGGTCCAAATTTACCTGATGATCCCACCTCCTTTTCAAGCCTTGTGGGTCGTATACACTAGCGACACTGCGTTGCCAGTCTCGCGCGCTAATCACCGACTGCATGTTGCTATAAGTGGGCTGGGCCATAGGTTGCGGGACAGGCATGGAGGACATCTTGGGCGTTTGAGAATAGTGCATGCGGTATTGGGCTGGGAGGCTCTGGCCGTCCTGCGAGGGGTTGGTTGCTGAGAGTGGAGGAGAATTCGTGCTGGAAGCATTGGATCCACCGCCAGAGAAGGCAAGGTCCCATTGGCTATCAAAGTGAAAAGGGGGGGGGAGGGTTAGTCAAAAGGTTCCATGTTTCATATGTATCGTTTATTATAGCATGGTTTCTGTTATTTCCCAGGTACTTACTTGATAATTCGAGTGGGATCCCAGGTGTTACTATCGGCCAATGGGATGTTGAGCAGGTCTTGGTTTTGGTCATGACTCTGCATTATCTCTTGTAGTGTAGGGCCGCCTGCCTTATCATTAACCTCAGCAGATATAGGAGGCGTGAGTGCGTGGGTTCCATATGCGAGTTGATTCTGTTCTGGGCAACTTGCAGCAAAGGACGAGGATAAGTAGTGAGAGTCCATTGGAGGACTGGGGTGATGTTGATCTGATGGACTACCATAGGGAAAGCTCCGTTTTAGCTCAAATGGCTTGTTAATATCGGCCGAAAACGCTAATCGAAGTTGGTTGATCGACTCTTGTAAATCGGGAACAGGCCATGTAGTTGCACATTGCTCGAGGAGACGCATGTGGCGGGTGAAATATATCCTTGCATCGGAGTTAAGCTCGGGGTCAGGGGAGGTGATCGCAATCTACCGGTTACAAGGTCAGAAGACAACATAATGCGGGGTGCACGACATTCGGTTGTACTCACGAGATGCAACATCGTACATGTCAAGATACCATATACAGTAAAGCTGATACCGCGCTGCATGTAAAACAAGCCGTTCAAACCAAAGGATCGTATAATCGCTTCCTGTAGGCGACAGAGCTTTTTTGCTGAATTATAACAGAGAAGCATATGAGTTCTCCATTTCCCGCCAGCGGCGAAAGATTTCGATGCCAGAAGTTGAGGACGGTGTAGGATTATGGTGGAAAGGTGGAAATGAGAATGCATATTTCCCACAAGGTGGGATGGAAGCCATGGCGGAGACCCATCTGGCGGATATGTGACCTGCAAGTCGGGCGGAAGGTTGGCGAGCCAGTCTGGGATTAGGGTGTTGTTTTCTATAAATCGAGGATCGGCTCCCCAGTCCGGTTGTCTCTTGAGCTTATGATATGAATCTGTGATCAGTCGAATGCTGCGGACATTGCGTATAAAATAAGCAAATAATCGTGACCTTTCGATTTCAAAAGCGTCTAAATTGGGAATATTCAATGAAGTCCCGTATTCAACAGAATCTGGATCAACTCCAAAATCCGAGCGCCCTATATTTTGAAATTAGAACTTCGTCATGAATATGGAGATATGTTTTCGTACCTTGAGGACCACCGATCATTGTTTCGACCACCAAAAGGGCTTGCCATACTCTGGTTTGGACGAGGCATTCAACTGTATCAAGCCCACAAGGTTGTCCTTCAGCATGATAGCTGTGGTGTTCATGAAGATCGAGGTCCTTCGCCATGGAAACCATAGTCTTCACCGTCTGCCAAGAGCGGTAGAAGTAACCTTTTTTCGGGGAGCCCTCTCTAGCTTTTAGGAAAAGTAATAAGGCCTGGATCGTACTCAGTCGAGGAGCTTCCATAAATGCCGCTTCGTGCCCTTGTAAAAGTTAATGGTAAGAACTACGATTATTTTTCTCTTCAAGAAGACTCACGATTGCCCAGCGCAAGCCACTGTGCTCCTTGCGCGGGATCATCCGACATCCTCCCGGCACAAGCAAATATGCCCTCTAAAAGAAGGGGCGATATGGATGTTTTATCGGATTGCCATTGCTGATATAAGTGGCCTCGATGCACGACAGGTACATAAGGGTGGATATGGGTAAAGTAAATATCGAAATATTTCATAGCGTCGTCGTCTGATGGCATCAGTTCAGGGGGTATACGAATAGTTGCGCCAGAGGTCGAAATAAAGGGTGGGAGCTTCGCGTCACCTTCCTCTGCGGTCGGAACTTCCGGATCTTTGTCTCCTTTTCGAGGTTGCCGGATATAAGCGGCTTTGGAAAAGAAGCGTTAACAATAATTTGGTTTATATGCAGAAGAGAAAATATAGATATTAAGTGTGGATGGGAAAGCCATAAATAGCTTTGGATACGAAAAGAACTGGCAAACAAAGTCACCAGCTGTAATTCTAATGACATACCAACACCAGTTTCGTCTATTTTAAGATCGCCAAGTGCATCGCTCAGATCTTCTGCATTTGAATGTTCAGATTTCGCATACGATGTAGTGTCCACTCTCGTTAGGAGTTGATGAGGTGGTGACGTAGTGTATAGGTTCGGGTTATGTTGAAATGTTTGGTTATGTTGCATAGGAACAAGATGCGGTGGAGAGAGGGCGTGATATATATGCCGGGGGCTTTGCGCATGTTCTGTATATGCTTGCGCTTGATACAACCGGGATTCCTCACTATAGCTTCGGCCGCCTCCAATACTCTGAGCATGTGTCCTATCAAGAAAAAGCGGTTGGTGAGATATGTTCTGGGAGGAAAGGTCTAAATCTGCGGAATGAAGAAGATTCGTTGGCGGCGGCTGCTGACTCGACTCAGGCATTTGGCCATGGGATGAAAAATCGCCATCCTGGCCGATGGTTGGGGGGATGCAAACAAGTTTCAATCGAGTACACGCGGAGCAGGGCCAGGTATTGGTGGTTGCAGCATCGCATTTAATCTTTCGTTTGCGACAGCCATTGCAAGCTCTCATAACTATCCAAATATTAGTCCAAAAATATTCCCCGAGCGCGCGAAAAGTCAAGGTGTAAAGCATACCCTTGAGACGCTTGTGTCTGTTGTGTTCGTCCACAAAAACATAGTCTACGTATGCAATTCACGTCAGAATCAAAACACTAGGCGCATTAACACCACGGATACCAGCAGGACAAATATATCCCTGCAGTAACGCGAGTTTCTCTACAATGCGTAAGAGCAACGAGAGCTTACTCTTCTGGCCCTCGGCGGGGCCCATGCTAGGGGGAACAAATGAGAACGCCTGCATCGGCACAATCGGGAGCGGAGCGCTGACCGAGGCCACAAGTAAATGGGACTTGCTGTGGCGGGCAGTGCGAAAGTATTGCAAAGGTGGTAGAAGTCAGGCCTGGGCTATGGACAGCTGAGCCTGCAGCCGCTGTGCAAGTGCCACTGTATCTGACACGCGTGTGGGGTTTCAACGATAAATGTAGACAGAGTGGGACAGGCGTGCGATCGTGCAAACACGGATACTGATGTTCTAGCGCCTAGGAGTAATCGGAGGAGGTTATTGAGATGGGATCGTAGAGCGAAAAACCATACACCGGGGATTTTCAACGGTGTGTTATTTACCCGCTTCCCCAGGTTCATGGTAGGTAGGGGAAGTTATGCGCGGCTCCCAAGGTGAATCCACAGTTTGGAAGGTTCTGGGGCAGACCGAGGGCGCAAACCGAGGGCGCCAGGAACGCGGTGAACAAAGAGCGGGTCGATGAGACAGGAGCACGGGGCTTATCCTAAACACGAGGAATAAGGCATTGGCAGTCAGTACTCAACACAGTCATTATTGGCCGCATTATTTCGCAGAGTCCGAGCGGAATGAGGATTGTGGGGAGGGGGGATGGGGTAGAGTCGAGGAGCCTGACTGAGGGGGGTGGAGGGAGGAGGCGAAATGCAAAATGGCAGCTTTGCTAACTAACTAATCCGGAAACATGTGAAGCGCCCGGTCACGGGATTATTAATTGGGTTGGGTTGTTGTGCGTAGACTCCAGCTTCTTCAGTCAACGCAACCAGCAATCGGTCAGCCAGACACGCGAGCAGCGGATCGATCCGTGGAGCCGGAAAAGCACCAAGGCGGGTGATTCAGTCGGCAGAGTGTGCGGGAAGCGGAGCTAATCATTGACGCCACATACTTTATCTATGACACCAGGGATGTTGACACTTTTGTGCGGAGGAGGGGAGGGAGAGGGGATGGTGTGACTGACTGTGGGTGAGAGATGTGAAGAGTAAGTCTTAAAAAACTAAATAAAGGGGTGGGTGGGTGAAAAGGACGAGAGAAGATGAGGCGGCTAACAATGGGAGAGAGGGGCAGAGAGAGAGGAGCGGGAAAGAAACAACGGCGGCAAGCGTTTCGTCTCTCCAAGTCACTCCAGAGAACTCAAGAGATCGTACTGCGCTCCGTCTGTCTGACTATAATATTAAGACTGTGCGTCGTCAGTGGGCCTCCGCTAGAGCGTTTGATCCCCTACAGGCAATAACCTCTAGCAGGGTTTCAGCAGATATACCGTACAGCGCCAAAGGCGTGTGCTGGTGGGATAGGGATGATAAGATGATCCCCCGGTTGGAGATACAATCGGACGTCTCGGCGGAAATCCCCACGGTCCAGGTGAACAGCAAGAGCCTTCCAATCCTTAATATTATTCATTTTGCTTTGCCACAACTGATCAAGGGAAAGCGGCGCTATTTTAGTACGGCGGCCAAGCAGGCAGGAGAAAGCACTTCTAAGTGGAAGTTTATGTTGGAGGCGATTGATGAGACAGTGGCATGGCTAGTAGACTACATATTACGGTGGTGCGGACCAAGTCATCGAAAGGGGATTTCGAGAAGCTTCGGGCCCAACAGATTTTATTTCCTTTTTATGTTACGGAGCGCATGGCTGTTTGCTACGACATCTATCTCGATACCTCTCTACCCAGCAGGTAGCGTGCTGTCACTCGAGGATGGGGAGAATCAGGAACTAACAAAAGGGATCTTAATTGAAGTGCAGTGAGGAGAATGGGAAGCAACGTATCTCAGAGGCGGATCGGTTCGCTATAGGGTTTGCTGAAGAGTTAGCCTTCCCTTCCAGGCAGATTGAAGGCAGGCATCGATGCCCAAGGGTGTCCGGCTGCGTCCACCGGTAATCCCATGGGTGGGTGGGTATCTGTGGCTCTCTAGTCAGCTAAACATATGGAAGCGACGGCATCCATGGGTCCATCCATAACTAATAATTACGTGCTGCATAAATGATGGTGGCTGGACGGGCGGCACATCGCTGCTTGTACGGAGTACAGGTGCAGGAGTGACCCTGTGATTTGGGAAGTTTGTGTTGCAGTTGCCCCTCCATTTTCCCGCGCTCATCTGCTGCCAACTGGTTTATTTTTGCTTACAATAATGATTGAATTGCCCCACGCAGCTCCAGGCTCTAGAAAATATGGGAAAGAAGCTGCATGGTTTCAAGTCAGGAGGCTCTGTGACCAGATCTTCTCAAGGTTGCCGACTCCTCACGGACACTCACTCCCTCCCTCCCCTCCCACAACAAAAAACTACAAATCCGGGATCTTCACCATGAGCGGAGTGAGAAAGTGGGGAAAGACTGCGAAGGAGCACGGCGTAATTTGGGGGTGGGGGTCGTTTGAAAAAATAAGCAGCCATGAAGAAACCGGAACTGGCTAGGCCGCACGGAATTGAACCCCCTATTTTGAAATAGAATATAAAAATACATAAAATACATAAAGTACATAAAGAATTAAAAGAAATAAATCTCTCAATAAAATAAAAACAATCCAAGCATGGATTCCAATTGCAGATATGATATCCGCAACCTTTGGCAGATTTCCGCGAGCATAAAACAAAGCCAAAGAAAAGGCTTCAGAAAAGTTCTCAGCCCCAGCTTCCAGAATAGCCTATTCTTCCATGACCTCCCTCCCCTGCCTTGCAACCTGTCACGAGGCGTGGCTTAGAAGGATAAAGAAATGGATGTTCCAGGCAGAGGACAAACCTGCTGCGCCTTTTGATTGTCACCCATTGACATTCCGCGAAAACGGTGCACGCAAGCACTGGTGATATTTATTTGCAACACTCGGCGTGGGAACCCTGCTACATTCCCCTGGAAAATGTTCAAGAAGATCATTATTCTTGAAACTTACGTGGGGAGGAGATGGGGGTGCCAATAAGCGATGCGGGTCAAGCTGGAGACGAAGAGATGTGCCGAGATTTTCAACCCAAGAGCCCCACACGCCAATGCCTGGCCAGGGATCAATTTTAGGCTCATTCTCTGCGCGAAGGGCTTCTTTGACTAGAATTATTATCCATGTCTGGTCCACAAAAACAGCTCATGAAGAACGGATGAAAGGCGTCGATCCTGAAAGTGGCCAACATGAAACCTTCTCTGCAGAATATCTATTGATGGCGCTGCAATCCCGCCATTATTGTCCGGCTCTTGGGGATATCCATTTCGGCTACCCCGGGTGTCGATTCCAATATTATTTGCGATCCATCAGTATCAAGTGTGGTATGTTGGTGATGTCGGAAAAAGCCCTTTTCCCATCTTCGTTGAAGATGCACGGTCGACTAAACTGAGAGTTCCACCAGCATTATTATTGTCCGCATGCCATGCTGTGCGACGCTATGATTATGGTTGCGGCGGAGTACGTGACGTTTGGCGGGCTGGATGGATGGAGGGCTCTTGATCACGTGAGTCATTAGATAATCATCACTTCGCAGCCACTGACGTCAGCCGCAACTGCAACCTTCCATCTGTCGTTATCCTGGCTTCTTCCATGTGTGTTGACTACATACATACTTGTCCCGACACAACCCAGAGCAGACATCATTAGGGGCTACTATAACTAATTGGCCTTTCAGATCCCTTGTCCTTCACGGGTACCTCGTCCATCTAATCCCCGACTCCCGGCTATTTATTCATTCTCTGAATGGACGGCTTAATGCAGCTTCCCCCATTCATTACTCGCTTGCATGACTTGGCTTGTTAGTGGCCTGCACTTTATACTTCCTGAAATTCCCCTTAGTTGCTTTTGTGGAAGGATGGAAGGATGCCTTGTGTAAAAAGCACTGGCAGACACAAGAGGATGGCACATCAGAGCATTCCTGACGTGCAACCCCATAAACACCGTGGGAAGCAAGGAGCCTTCTCTACCATTTGCCCGGTTCATCAAGTGCAGCCCATGCATATATGCCACCCCATGGCTCCGCTACTCAGGACGCTATGCACGGATGACACGCGGCGGATGATCCAGCAATTCCATCTCCATTGGTTGACGGGACAAGAAAATTAATTGATCTAAGAGGATTCATGAACTTGCTCAACCAACCCAAGATGCAATTTTCAAAGGTCTCAGGCCAGCCCTTTTGAAATATGAATTCGAAACCGCAAATAATTTGGAAGATATTAGCAAGAATCTTCAACGCCATGATACGGGGTTCATGGTTGGCCGAGCCCCTAATCTCTCAGAGGCGGCCGATGGAAATCTTGCGTTGCCGAAAAGTATGAATGATAATGCTTTTTATTTTGGTGAAAAGGATGAACAGGAATGCCAGCGCAGGGCTCTGAAAACTACCCCTTCAATCACTTTTTAAATCGTGAAGAAAACCAGAGACAAGAGAATTAGAAGTCGGACCTCACAACGTCCATATGGACAACCAACCGAGTATGGCAAAGAATCCAAAATCTGGTACTTATACATAACGGCCGACCATGTCCAATATTTGAAAATCGGAATGCTAAAGGCCAATTTCACCCCCGATACTCTTTTTTTTTCTAGTCGATCATGATTTCTGGAACAACATCCTAATAATTTTTTTTTTCTCTGCCAGAATTCAGAGGCCTCGCTATTTCACTGGACAACGTCTACTTTTAAATTCCTCATACTCCAACAAAATGCAATCCCAAAAATGGAAAGACAAAATTCAAATTCTTTCAACAAGAATTCATGGCCACAAAGTCGAGCATGGGTGCTTTACAGGGCTACCCTTAACCACGCAGAAACCCTGAAAAAAGTCTGGCCTTGCCCCGTCTGTTGCCGTATCATCTACCATCTTTCTCCATCAAATATGGTACCCAAGAAACACCAAGGGATAAAAATAACAAGCGACACTCGCAAACAGGCACTATTCCTTGAAATCTGAGAAGTATACATTCCCTCTACAGTCTAGCCTCTTCCCACCCTTTCAACGATTGATGCAGCCAGGGTAAGTAAAATAACCTCTAGTTACCCGCTACGCTATCAACTTGTTCTATAATCTTTGGCCTCTGAGGAGAATTAGGGTTTGCACCTGACGCTCGGTATCTCACACTTCGATCCGGCTTTCAAATCAATGGAGACAATAATACCCATGTCATGTGCAGGAATGCTTTACAAACATCACTTAGCACTTTTCGCTTAAAGTGCGACAATGCCAAGGTGAAATAGCCACTGCAGCGGTTTATTTATCATTGCTTTCCCACAAGGAAAGTGTAACCTTTGCTCCGCTACATCAGCTCCATACACAAAAGTGTAACGTTTTGCTGCGTTACTCTAACTCCATCCACAAAGATATGCCCCTACCCTAATCTAAATTGTCGGGAATTTTTGGAACAAATCACGGTTACGTGTAGGTGTTATTGAACCTCATATCGACAATTCTCTCTCTACAACCTTCCGTTGCTGTCGCTGTCGCTATTTTTATGTCAATGCACACTTGGCGCTTGAAATACGTTATGGTAGTAGATAGGTGTTTCAGCAATTCCCTGAGCCAACTAGGAATCTCTCCCAAGCAGCTTTCTGAAAAACAGACTCGAGCTAAAAAGGAAATAAACAAAAAATCATCACTGACCTATGAAACAATTCCTGTTTGATTTGACCATTACTTTAATCCTCACCGTACGGCATATTTTCACGAGGCTCCATAGACGTTTGCTCTATCAATGTTGAACAAACATGACCTATGCAGCGCTGGTCCCCTTTAGTGAGCATCTCCGAATGTGGAATATTATATAGTCTCAACCCTGAGCATCCTGGCCGCAGAAATAATCTGATGAGGTCTCGATTCAAGCTCAAAAGCTTTCTTCCGAAACACCGGGGACCCTTTGCCAGTCAAAGGCTCGATAGCACTCCTCTTGCATAGAATATCATGATGCTAAAGGGACATATTCATATGGGATCAGGGAAATTATGGAGAATCCAGGAGATGATTAAATTATAAGTCCTTAGTCATTTCCGACTCATCTTTTTGAGGTTGGCATCTTCAATCCATATTTATATCACCATGCCTTCCTCCTATCTATCCCCTGCTCCCGAACAGCTCCGTGTTTCTGCTTAATGAGTAATGTTCGTCGCTGTAGAGCTTCCCTGAATTAGGTTCAGTCTCACCAAGAACATCGCCAGAATCCATTACCGCCACTCTCAGAAGCGTTCTAATTTTCTCCTATAGAGATTTTCCCCCTTGTCTCCGCCTGCTGTCATCATTTAGGGCGCGCTAGTTAGTTAAGATTTGCCTAAGAATGTCTGTATGTCAGCGTGCAGGCCGAGGGTCGGCTGCACCCAAAAAGGAAACTTGCGAAGTTATACGAATCTCCAAAGTTTCACCTGCACACAAAAGCGTGCCTTGGTTTTATACCCGTGTGAGATTAAAACATCAAAGTTCGGTCTGCCATTACCAAATGTTATATCCTAATTGCCTCCAAGTTTTGCCGCCCCATTTTCAGCCAAAGATGAGGGGCTTATTTCACTTTCCCTCAATGGAAAAAGAGTAATCCCATCACAGCCGTTACACACAATGCCGAAGCCAACCTGAAATACCTTCACAAAGCTAACTAACTAGCTCCCATGCTCCCGTAATAGGGGAAGAACTCCGGTGGATCACTGGATCAGAGGGTATTCTAGTTTCCGGCTAACTACTGCCACTTGCTCAAGAATAGAAACCTTGGAACAACGCTCCCGTCGTACACAGACAGGAACCCACTTCTTAAACAAGGTGCCTGACGTGAAGGAATCGCAGAGCTCGCGGGCTCTCATAATTTTGTTAATCTAAACTTCTATTAGTGCTTACTGGGTGTCGAGGGAGGGGGGCCTACACTTCTGAGTCTGCACAATGCGATGAAACATGTAAGGGCCGAGCCAGACGAAATGTCCATTAGTTTTCTAACTTCAGTAGCACGTCCGCCACGGCCTTCCATTTTGTTTAAAAGGCCCGCACATTTACTTCAGAAGCAAAAGCGAAATTTGGTGAGCTAGGATAGCAATATTCCACACAGTCGTCCAGTCTTTGCAAAACCTTAACAATCCATGGACCGTCTTGCCCAGCCCAGCATGATGAATGCTCACTAACTGAATCATCCGTGCCCCTCATGCCGACGCCTCGCTCTCTAGGCTCATTGTTAGCTATTAATGTGGTCTATCAGTGGTGGGGACTAGGAATATGAGCTTATATCCTAGTAGGGACGGACGTTAAGGGGCCATCCCTGATATCTTGCAGAGGCCCTTTCAGACAATGTGAAGAGGGATGCGCTGGCTGGACAGGCTGCTCTGAAGGGAAGCCTGGTCTTCAGATGGATTCCAAGAGTGGGATGCTTGAGGTGGCGGAACAACTGGCATAAAAAAGAATGGCTTTTTGACAGCCCTGGATGTTCCTCTTGAAAAAAAGGGGAGGGAACTGTTTAGTAGCATTTGCCGATTCCTAGGTATGTCCATGGAGAGCTGCGGTGGGTTGTTCATCATTTTGCCCCATGATCCAACAAAAGTTGAAGCGCACTTCATTCAGGGGCAATAATAGTAGATGCTCAATCGGCCTGCTGAGACATGCATGATTTCGATGGCAGGAGCTGAAGTTCTCTTCTATCATTATTACCTCTCTAGAAATTTGCGATGTTTTAGTAAACTCAATGGCGGGTCGCATAGAAATCCGTTTCATACAGTGATGTTTCAGGTATATTTAACTAATCCGTAGTTAACAATTCCGCAGTGTTGGTGATTACTGCATCTACCCTAATCACGTGCCACCCAACTTATATATGGATAGTTTCACCTTAGATAGATTACCTCCAACACGCAGAGTAGTCACGTGAAGCAGCATGATGGTCCCGGATCTCCTATTGGCTGAGAACACTTCCCGACTCTAATATTCCGCCCCGCAACATATCCGGAACCCAGATCGTCCCAGTTTACATCACTACATCACCTACACAAAAAGCACAGAAGAGACTACAAAAGGAAAGGAGTTCCAAACGACTACAAAAATGGCCATGCAAAATTCAAACCCCACAATCCTCAGTGCAGCGGACCTCCCAACCCGCCAACAAAAATCCCGCCACTCCGCCGCAAAAGCAGAGTCACAGTATAACGGCGGAATCTTTGCCCATGAACTCCAACCCACCTCAACTCTTCTCCACGATCCCTTTGCTACAAGCTACATTAACGGCAGCTCCTCTGAATCCGAAAGCGACAGTGATGATTTAATGGAAGAGCCCATCGACGAGCAGGAAATATACGGTACCTACACCTCCCCCCTCCCCCCTCCCCTTCTTTCCCCACCCATACTGTATAATAATACACCCAACTCCCAAAACTAACCAAACACAACCCTCCCCCTCCCACAGACCTAATAGCCACCATCGCCGACCCAGAACACCCCATATCCCTCGGCGCCCTTGCCGTCGTCTCCCTCCCGGACATCTCCATCAAGCCCTCCCTCCCCAGCAACCCCGACTCCCCCCTCCGCACCGTCTCCGTCCTCATAACGCCTACAATAACCCACTGCTCCCTTGCCACGGTGATCGGGCTAGGTGTGCGTGTGCGGCTGGAGCAGTCGTTGCCCCCGCGCTTCCGCGTCGATGTGCGCATCAAGGAGGGCACGCATAGTACGGCGGACGAGGTGAATAAGCAGCTTGCGGATAAGGAGCGGGTTGCGGCTGCGTTGGAGAATGGGACGCTTATGGGGGTTATTGGGAAGATGTTGGAGACTTGTCAGTGAGTGAGGATTGGGGGTTTTGTCTTCTTTTCTATTGGGCATAGGGGTTATTTTCTTACTTCCCGAGGGAGGGCGTTGTGTTATCGGCTCTTTCATATAGAGATTGGATGGCGTTGGGGTTTCTTCATTTCTTATCTATTTGCTTTGTTGCTGTGGGAAGGAATTTGGATTGCATGCTTTCGATTGGGAGAGGGAGAATGAGATGAATGATATGACATAGTATCTCCCATGCCCGGATGTGTTCTGACAGAAACCGGGATTATTTATTTCATATCTAAAATTCTATACATTATACCATTTGGGTTTCATTCAATGCTTTTCTTTTCTTGCCCACAAATATAAATCAACCCCTACCTTAATTATACATAAATACCTGCAACCCAACCAAAATGAAATATTTCTTAACATATCAAAGCTACCTTGAAGCAAACAAGAAAATAGTAACCCCGGGCCAAAAAGATCGAAAAATAAAAAGAAAAAAAAAAGAAAAAAGAAAAAAGAAAGAAAGAAAGAAAAGAAAAATCTGTTAACCACTACCCCTCCCCCAAAACCCCACTCTCCCTCAACCCCTTCCAAAGCTCCGGCTCCAAAAACTTACTAACACTCACATCCTCCGCTAAACCTTTGCGCCTCCTAGTCTTAAGCACAAAATCCCTCGCCGTCGCCATCGCACTCGCCATATCCAATGGCCGCAGCTTCACTTCCCTATCCAACGGATCCCCCGGCACGACACTCCACTTATCAAAGACAAGGCTTACCGTCGCCTGGCCCTGCGTGTGTATGCGCAGATCCGTCTCGAAGCCAAATGAGTCGATGACAGGGACTAGGCCGCGGACGGCGTACAGTGGTGTACCGGCGATGGGGCCGTCGGAGAGTACGTGGCCGCGCCGTCGGGAGAGGACGGTGTAGATGGCAGCGACGGAATCGGCGGGACCTGTCATGGCGCAGGTGTAGATGGGTTCCATGAGGCGTGGGGAGGCCATGAGGAAGGAGGAGTAGACGGCGCGGCGGGCTGTGGGGATTATTTGGCCACCACCGCGGAAAATGGCTTGGTCGGCGAGGGAGATGTCGGTCAGTTTGAATTTGGTGTTGCGGATTGCTAGGGTAGGGGAGATTGGTTAGATTTTGCGCTGGAATGGTAGGTTGGTTTTTTTATTATTTAGAGATGGGAGTGGAGACATAGTCCTTGACTTACGTTCTTCGCATAGGGGTCCTTCTCGAGTTCCCCAGCTGAAACCCTGCCGTATGGAATCTCGCACCGTCCCTAATAGCTTCTTATCTACTTGAGACGGCAAAGTGTCATCCTGGAGGATATTAGGACCCATTTCCTCAGGGCCAAATGCCCAAATACTCCGCGCAGCCAACTTATCCCAGTCGTAATTTTGTTCGAAAAACTGGGCGACTCTGCGAATAGGGTCGCGTATGCTGACCCGTCCGCTTTCGATGTCTTCTGCAATCCCATCATCTAGAGGCTCTGCGATCATTGTGATTTTGTTTTTCTTGTTGGGGGTCATGGCGTAGCACATAATGGCTGATGTTTCGACGACGGTCTCGCAGAAACGGGTGACGGGGTCTGAGACCTTAAGTTCCATCTCTGCGTAGAGGCGGCGGAGGTCATGGAGGACGCAGTCCATGTAAAGTTCTCCCGTTCCTAGCACAATGTGCTCACCAGATTCCTCGACCTTCGTAGATATTAATGGATAGCTCTTGTTGATTTTTCGAAGGCCCTCGAGCATCTTGGGGAGTTCAGAAGGATTGATGGGCTCAACTGCAACTTTGAAAACGGATTCGGTCATGTGTTTTATTGGCTTGAAGATATAAGCGTCCTCATCATCTTCAAGTTTCAAGGGAACCAGCGTAGCGGTCTTCACTATGGAGTTATCAACCCCAGATAGAAGTACCCAGTTTCCGGCAGGGACACCGCTCGTAGGGATGTTGTATCTGGTCTCTGCGATCCACGTATCCGCTATTGTGGCAATGACCATATCCTCCTCGTCGTCAATGGTGTATCCCTCGCCCAAAACTCGTACTTGCTGACCCGGTCGAGCAATACCACTCATGACTCTACCAAAGGCGTCGAACTTTGATGCATCCGGTGTACTGTATAGTTTTGTGACCTGGATTACCAAAGGTCCGTCCTGGTCGCATGCTGACATTGATGCCGCAACTTTTGTATCCAGAGGCCCAGTGTAGTATTTTTCGAGCATCTTCTGTGCCCCCTCTTTAGGCGAGGGGATGTGCTGGACCACCATGTCAACGAACCCGTCAACAGGTCCAAAGAATTGTTCGCAAACGAGCTTTAGTAGGACCTTTGCATCCGATTTCAGCTGGGAAGGCTTTAGGAAGATTCCCAGGGTTGCTAGAGTCTCTTTAAGGTCCTCCGGGCTCTCGGAAATGGTGTGAGAAAAAAGCTTGTAGATAGTTTCCAAAACGAAGTAGACAAAAGTCCGTTTCGACTGTTCTTCAACGCCCTTGCGGGTGAACTTCCTGCTCTTAGGATTAAAGAAGATATCACCCCAGAGGCGGGCGCCAAATTCTGCAATATCGATGCCCGGGTAGGTGTCGGCATACATCTTGGCAAAAGATTGCAACGTGAAGCACCAGTTCATGCTAGTGCAGGCGAAAGCGACATTCCCTTTCTCTGGGCTCAATCTTCTCTTTTCACCTTGGCCTGGTAGAGTCCGCTCAATTATAGTGTTCACTTCTTCGACGACATGTTTCAATTTGAAATAAGCGTCTGTAGGTGGAAGTTTCAGTTCGAGGATGAGCCGATCCATCTTGTTCACAACCAGCGTGAGAGGTAAATCCTCTAGCACAGCATACTTGATTATCTGCTCCGTATTGATCTGGACCCCTTCAACCACGTCAACTATCAGGACAACACCATCGACCAATCTGAACGCAGCGGCAACCTCGTCGACGAAATTTACGTGCCCGGGTGTGTCAATAATATTGAATAGATGCGATTTCCCGCGGGTGCCTTGTAATACCAAGCTCATGGGCGCAGATTTCATAGATAAGCCCCGTTCCCGCTCGACAAAATGGACATCCGTATATCGTAGTTGCTCATCCTTCCGCTTCCCAATCCTTTTATCCAGCCGTTCTGACAGATCGTGCGTCTGCATTACCAGGGTATCCATAAACGCGGTTTTTCCATGATGCAAATGACCGGCAAGGGCGATGTTTCGGGTTTGGTCAGGGAAATTTAGGAGGTCGGTCATAAATTCGCGAGAATAGAAAACGGACGGCAGATCCGCCTCCTGGACCGCGAATTTCTTCTGCTGGACGGGCGCGATGATGGGCTGGGTGAGCGGTTGCGCATCTTCCTCCTCGACAAGTGTTTCCACGCCTTCACCATACACCTGCTGGGCCGTTGGGTAATATTGTTTATCTTCATGTAGGATGACCGCATTCGAAGGACCTTGTTCTGTATTGATTTTGCGATATCCATGTCAGCGCTCAAAAATCCAATATACAATGTCCGATAAAACTGACAACAAGGATGTGTTCAATTCCGCATGCATATATGTGATCATTACCATCTATTTCCATCAATTGCTGGTCATGAGCGACTCCTTCTCCGGCCTCTTCACCTTCCTCCGACTCGAGGTCATAGGCGTAAGCGTCTGGACGAGCTTCACCATGCCTAAGCTCATCTTCCGATTCCTCAGCCTCCCCAATGTAGTTCCCGAACCTGCGCAACACAAAACCGTTAGCGCGACCCTGGTAGAGGAGCTGCTGAAACGCTGCTGCCTTGAAAGTGAAAAGCACCTACTCGTCGTAAAGATCATCCATGATGGCTGCAGCAGATTGATGCAAAGAAGCGCGCGGTCTGATTACTTGACGGAATGAATCATTTCGCGAGCACCGGTTGCTTTGTAGAAGAAGTGTAATACAATATCTCACAATATTGCTTTTATAAATCGCAGCAATGGGGTTGGCGGGGAAAGCAGAGGTTGGTGCTTTGACTGGGTTTTGGCGTGGAAGCTTGCGGTGGACAGAAGGTTTCTTAGCTGGATATTTACTATGTAACTACGTTAATATTAAATAGCCTCAGGCACCAACAGAAAAAAATACACAGCTACTTTTTAGTGGCAGCGGATCAAGGACAGACTACTCCATACTCCATACAGCTGCTAACTTGGATACGGACAAAATAATAAATCAAATAGCTTAATTGAAAATGGAATACAAAGATAAAAGCAAAAAATAAAAAGGAGAAACGTTGCTGCCTACTTAACCCCTATTGTTCCGCAATATATATGTATGTATAAACACTGTTCTCGGCGTTAAATATTGCATGTAACTTATGTAACTTAACTTTGTCGCTCTCCTCCCTCACTAGTTATATTAAGTTAAGTTAAATAACAACCCTCACCTATTTTACCGCCAACAGGCAACGCTTCTTTTACATCTTACTTGCTGCCAATCTGTGAATTTTCTTCTCTTGTGCCTTCGTGTTGTTCTCTATCAGCTTCGTTCTTCTGCTTCCTCTACCAATCGCTCCATTCCGTGGATCCATCGTGCTGTAATACATCGCATCCCAGAGCAACCCCCGCCGCCGATATAGTCTAAACCATGTCTTCTCTCCCTCCTGTCTATATCGTCGCCTCCGCGAGAACCCCCGTGGGTTCTTTTCTAGGGTAAGTAGAGAGTTTCTAAATAGTTGCAGCATGCATTGCAATGGTCATCGAACAATTCGACTGTTTCTTAGCTATCTCAATATGTGGGGTATGGTGCAACATGCTGACGTTTCGTTGCCCCTCCATCTAGGTCTCTCTCTAGCTTAACAGCACCTCAACTCGGCTCTCACGCCATCAAGGGTAAGTTAATCTACTATTCTTGGTCCAGATTGTATAACCAAAGCTGACTTTGGACCCCGCGCAGCTGCCGTTCAGAGGGTGCCTGCGATCAAGCCCAGTGATGTCCAGGAAGTCTTCTTCGGAAACGTCCTCTCCGCAAAGTAAACAAACCCCCACTCAATCCCATATATCCTTCACATATTATTATTACCTTCAATTGGATGTATATGTATATCATATACTAATTTCATATCTCACAGTGTGGGACAAAACCCTGCAAGACAATGCGCTCTCGGCGCAGGACTCGCTGAGTCCACCGTCTGCACAACAGTCAACAAAGTGTGCGCCTCAGGCCTCAAAGCCATTATCCTAGGGGCGCAGACCATCATGACTGGCAACGCCGATATCGTTGTTGCTGGAGGCACCGAATCCATGTCCAACGCCCCCCATTACATCACCAACATGCGCACCGGTGCGAAATACGGTCACCAAAACATGGTGGACGGTATCATGAGGGACGGCCTCACTGATGCGTCAAAGAATGAGATCATGGGCCTACAAGCTGAAGAATGTGCTGCTGATCATGGCATCACCAGAGAACAACAAGATGACTATGCCATCAGATCATATGAGCGTGCGCAAGCTGCTCAAAAAGCTGGATTCTTGGCTGGGGAGATTGCCCCTATTGAAATCCCCGGTTTCAGAGGCAAGCCCGGTGTTGTTGTTGATAAAGACGAGGAACCAAAGAACGTACGTTTTCAGGAAGCCTTAACTCCGGAATATAACCCATCACTAAGAAAAAATATATACTAACCCTCTCTTCCACCTCACAGCTCCACCCTGAAAAGCTCCGCGCCATTAAACCCGCCTTCATCCCCGGCACCGGCACTGTAACTGCCCCCAACTCCTCCCCACTAAACGACGGTGCCGCAGCCGTCGTTCTCGTCTCCGAAGCCAAGCTAAAGGAGCTCAACATCAAACCCCTAGCCAAGATTCTCGGCTGGGGTGACGCCGCCAAAGCAACTAGCAAATTCACCACTGCCCCCTCCCTCGCCATCCCCAAGGCGCTCAAGCACGCCGGCGTCGCGCAGGACGCCATCGACGCCTTCGAGATCAACGAGGCGTTTAGCGTGGTTGCGCTGGCTAATCTTAAACTCCTGGGTCTGAGCGAAGACAAGGTTAATATGCATGGCGGCGCGGTTGCGCTAGGACACCCGCTCGGTGCCAGCGGTGCGCGTATTGTAGCGACCCTGTTGGGTGTGTTGAAGGAGAAGAAGGGGAAATTGGGATGTGTAGGTATCTGCAATGGAGGGGGTGGTGCTAGTGCATTAGTTGTTGAGTCTTTGCAGTAGGTTTGCAGATGGGTTTGTTGAGGGTGGGGATGAAGGAGAATTATGTCCCTCTTTTTCAAAGCACAAATTCCCTGATAGCCGTCCCCACAAAGTAAGTACACTGACTTACTTTTATTTTTGTGGCACACGCATATCTCTCTCTCTCTCTCTCTCTCTATATATATATATATAAGCCCCCTTTTTTTCACTCGTGGAAAAGAACATTTCACAGACCAATCAATTTGAAATAAATGATTCCTATGTATTGTTTTGTATAGTTTCTCTCATATGGGGAAAACTGTACGTATGCGTGGGACTCATATCACTTGTTATGCAAACTAAAAATTTCCGAAATAAAATGATGGATATAACCATTCATCACTAAAAAATTAACTGACAGATTTCCGCCTACAAGAAAGTATGTATATATATCAAGGTACAAATTTGAAAGGGGGAAGAGTATGAACTAGGCGACAAGTTACATTTATACACTCCACATATAGACATGGATCTGTCTACCTAGGTATATCCATATATTTCCCATCATACAGCCCAGCCTACCCCATCTCCTCCGCTCTCACAGTCAACTCCTCTCTCACCCGCTCCCCAAATACCGATTTGAACACCCCATACTCAGCCCCAACCCTCGTGATAACCTCCAACGGCAGCACCACATGCCCACGTAGCACCGGCGAAATCCGCGCACTAATGTCTATCAACCAGCTCACCTGCGGCAATATCATCTGCGGAAACAGTGCCCGCTCAGGTATCACGCGCCAAATGATCGGACACATCGCCACCTTCAATGCCGTGAGGTACATGAACAAAAGCAGGAACATCGCATTCTTCTCCACCTCCCCCTCCCACTTTGGCCTCCGCCCGGTTCCCGCCCCCGCGCCTCTCACGGATGGCGAGATGATGTAATTTTGGAAACTGACCTCGTCAATGGTGCACAGGACCACATACGTCTTCTGGAACGAATTGAATGCATCGACCCACGCTCGTCGCTGCAATGCCTCGGCAGCATCGAGGATGGCTGCGTGATAGTTCTGGTGACATTCGTGCTGTAGGAGTGGAATCAATGCCCTCAATGCATCCGCAAAGCGCTTGACAACGCACATATTAATGCCCATGTCGATAGCGTCGCCAGGGTCATCGTCGAGATCCTCAGCGTCGTCGTTGCTGGTGAGGGTCAGGTGTGAGAAGCGCGTGCGCGTGCGCGGGTCGAAGCCCTCTTTCAGGCTTAGGAGTAGGGCGTTGCGGTCGGTCGAGGCCTGTTATGGCTGCGATGTGGCCCGTTAGGGGTCCGGAGCCGCGGATTAGAATGAGGAAGTCAGTAAAGCCGTCACGCAGGTGGGATGATTGCGTCATCAGAGCGTAGCAGGTTGCAAACATGGCGTTGAGTTTGGGGATGTTTGGCATGGTGGACGCGGTGGGAAGGCCGGCATGTGCGTGCTCGTCTATTGATTGTTGGAGACCGCGGAGAGCGAGGCCGCGATGGGATAGCATGGTTGAGTAACCGTGCATTTCCTCAAGGCCTGAACCGGCCATGGCGACAAGGGAGAGGTGCATGGCGACAAGGGAGAGGTGCGAGGCGCCCAAGGAGATGATGGCGTGCATAAGGAATTCGTGCTTTTGAGAAGTCAGCTTGGATAGTCATGTATGGGAGGGATGCGAGAAGTTATGGACACATGTATATAAATACACACATATGTGTGTACTGCACATATTTACCTGGTGGGCGAGAAGGGGTATCTCAGTAATCCACACTGTATCACAGCCATCTGGCAAATACGGATAGCCCGCAGTCAAATAATGGTGGAAGAAGCGCATATCGTCCATTGTGAAAAAGGGGGAAACTGCGGCGGCGCGGGAGCTGGCCTGATAGCTAGTGGAGGCAGCATTGGCGGCCTTGTATAGTGCATAACAGGGACATAATTCTTGTCGTTATAATTTGATTGCAGACGACGGTGGGGTTGGTGTGATTGGTGTGATTGTGATTTGAACAGCGAGGGATAAACGCAATCGAGCTGCCTTAACATGCAATTGTCGCATGCTGGTCGTGTTTCGGGGCACTTTTGTATAGATAGAAAAGGTAAGATATACATTCAATAAGAAAATGGTTGAAAATTGTAGAAATATGTCCTGTCCTGTAGGGATGGATATTCGCGTACCTTTACTCTCCGAGCTTTACAGCTATAGCAGCCGGTTCGTTCGGGATTTGGTATGGGGTTTCCTGTTGATGGTCGGAACCGTAGCCTGTGGTGAGGAGTCATTTGCGACATTTGCCATGGTAGTTATCGAGGAAAAAGCTGTTGGTTCTACTCATGCCCGTCAACTGAGTGCGTTATGGCATGTTATATTAGATGCTGCTTTCCTTTCCCGCCCCCCTCCGATATATGCAGAACTTAGCGTATTTGTTCTGACTGAAAAAAAAAAAGACAGGGGCTGGCTTCGGGGCCATTTTCCATTGCCATGTCAGCATTTAAATAGTCTGAGCGGTATCTCCACGCCATGGATAAGTGGACCTTATGGGGCTTTGTAACCTGTCCACTCCCAGACAAGCTCCTCTCTGCCTGGGGGTCGCGGAGGAGAGTCAAAGTTCTGACCTGCACAGCTAGCTGGGTTTTCAAAAGATAACTACTAAAAACGCCCTGTTCAGCTTCTGGCTTCTAGCTCGCCCTCATTCATGGCATTGGTAATCGAATATTCTAGCTGGTGTACTAGCCCGCGTTAAATATTTGATTGTCCTCCGCTGCTGACTCGAGCTGCAACGAAACGCGGGGTTTATGCTTAATCCGTAGTTACAGGAAAGGGTGAAAATTAAGCTTTTTCTTTGCTGTCAGCCGAATGCCAGATACATCACTAACTTTTGATACCGATGGGTGGTGCACAGGATGAGCAAAGTCGGAGTTGTAGTCTCAATCCAATGGATGTAGAACCGAGCCTCAGGGTGAACTCTTGACCAGCAATGATCAATCCTCAACATATGAACCGTATATCACTATATCACATCAATCCTAGCAAGCAACCTTATATTGCAGGCAGGCGAGGGTATATAGATGAGATGGTCTTCATGTCTTTTTCACGAGTGAGCCGGCTCGTGAGCATCCTGGCGCTCCGAAAGTGGCATGCTGACAAGCCAAAGCACAAATTCTTCTTTCTTGAACCACTGACTAGTTGGGCTCTAATTGTCGAGACGCATATTATGTTGGTGAGCAGATTCACTATTCAGTTCAGGTTTTTAGGATAGGGGCCCATGATTATTGGGATAAAAGGTCCGCGGAGCTTGGGGTATATCCCCGTGGCGTTGAAGAATCCACAGCGTGGAGAACCTAGAGTTTCAACTGCCGGCAACATAGGGGCATTTTGCCGGTGGATTGAACTGGATATGAGGCCCGCCATTTTTCGCCTGGCGGAAGATTATTTACTATTTTAACATAGGGCTGGAGCGGTGAGCCTGCCAAGGAGCCATCCGAAGGAATATCAAGGGGTGCTATAGTTTAATCTGCCTCGAAGTTGGACTCCTTGTTTTGGAAAGGGGCCATTAGTGAGAACTTTATGACTGGAATGTAAATTGGTACTGGTACTACATGGTTGAAAAGACATGCGTTGATACTCACCTGCTCAACAAAAGCTCATTGTTTGTGAAGTCCCAACAAGATATCAGATGCCGCCGGGATTGATCAAGCCATCAGGAAACCGGACCCCAAAATCCTTAGGGGGGGATCGGACTTCGATTCCGAACTCCTGGTAAGAGATGGGGTTGGCTGGGTAATACAGCATGCCGAGAGGTATGCGACAACAGGAAATTAATTTAGGAAACGGTCCTAAGCAATTTGCTGTGATCCATCCTTGCCAACGAAAGCCACGGGTATCGCGGGACTTCTGAGAAATTTGTAGGGAGTAGAAGTATAAAAAAGGAGACCGAAAGAGGGGCAAATCATTATCCAATTGAGCAAGTCAATATGTAGAGCAGAAAATAAAAGGATAAAATATGTCATATATATGTATATATCTCTCAGAGGTCTATATGTAAGATATATATGTGGTACAGCGAGAACCAGCCGTCAAAAGTCAACCAGTGGTGCGGAATATTGTTCAAAAATAAGAATGAACGGTTTATATCAAAACAAAAAATAGAAACGAAAATGAAAATGACAAATAACACCAAAAATAGGGACACCCCCATTTTCTTGTCTGCTTTCAAGCAAATGCCCCAACAAGAGCCATGAGCAACGCCCCAGCCGCAGCCGCCATACACGCCTCAACCCTACTCCTCCCCCTCAGAGTCTCATAACTCTTATCACTCAAAAAGTCCTCCGCCAACAACTCCACCAGGCCTGCAAATAGTAGTAACCCACTACTGAACGCATTCGTCATTCCCACCATCAACAATCCCGCTGTACTGGCCGGGTCGTATAGGTTATGTAGACCCAAGCCAATAGCCTGCCCGATGGGCGTGGTGGCACCGTAGGCAAACGCCATAAGCCACGGTTTGGGAGACGATGCGGGGAACAGGGCGGGAATTAGAGAGGCGATGCGCGCGCCCAGCGCGAAGCCTTCGAAGGTCTGGTGGAAAGAGATAGCGACGAGGAGGACGAGGAAGGAGGTGCCAGTGGCAACGCTGAGGGCCATGCCGATGAAGACGCTGTGGAAGAGGATGCCCGCTTCGAGGAGTAGGCATTGTAGGAGCTGCTTTTGCGCGGCGTGGGCGCTTATGGTTTGGGAGGACGGGTGGTGGTGGTTGTGGTTATGGCGGGGGTAGTGGTGGGAGCGGGACTCGTTGTAGGTGGAGGATGTATCTGGGAAAGGGTCTAGCTCTTCAAGGTCAAGATCTTCATCGTCTCCGGCTTGTGTTTCGCTGCCTCTAGTTTTAGGGAGCATTGGCTCACTGCTCCCTTCCTCCAAAGCCAAACCGTGCGGCGATGAAGAGCCTGGGTTGGAGGGAGAATCCTCGTGTGGGTGAGGAGTACTACGGATTTTTCCTAAATGTACGCCCCCGCGACTATCGCCATTTACCAGAGGCATCGAGCTGGTCTCATGGTATTGGGGCCCCTCATCAATTAGGGTATCGTATTCACTGCCATGGACATGTTTTGCACCCCTTAAAGCAAAGAACATCTCGATGGTCACAACGATCATGACAGCGACCATTGCGACTAGGCCAGCGGTAGCTGGGTATCCCTTGTTCCAGAATCTTGGTAAACATGGGTGGGTTAGGGAGATGAAAGCGGTAGGGAGGAGATGGACGAAGGCGGTAGCAATCAACACGCCTGTGCCGAAGTGTCTAGATAAAAAGAGGAAGTGTCGGGGGATCGGCAGGCGTGGGAAGCGACGCGCAATAATCGGGAATGAGCATGCTGGACATAGAGCAGTGTAAATATTAGAAGCATGTAGAACGAGCAATTGTAACGATAACGTGACAAACTAACCAAAGGTACTGAGCACCAAAATAAGTACTAATGCCGCAACGTGCAGCGGAGTGTTATATGTGCCGGTCCTTTCACCGCTGCCGCATGTTGAACCGTCTGGTGCGTTTCCGTCTGCGCTGTCGTCGCCCGCTCTGGTGTCAATGCCAACATATCCCCGCCGTTCCAGCTCCGCTCTTAGAATCGCAAGGGGAATATTCGTTAATGAAGGGCCTAGGTGAAGTCGATAGTTTAGTCAAAGGTTCCTTTCCCACATCGCTATCTATATAGCAATTATGCCATGGACATCTATAGCAGTCCAATATTATAGAAAATGCCGAACCTACCTCCGATCGAAACCCCGGGACCCTTGCCATCACCACGATCACCCGCTGCCAACATAATTACAAGCTAAAGAGATGTTGTTATCGTTATTGCAACCAAAAATCCCAAACTGTTCATTCCGCCAATTTCCATTGCACTTAAGTATGAAGTACTCTGCCGATTCGCGAGGCCACAAAATACGAAATTGAGAAACCCGTTCGACACTTGTGCCCTTCCTCTGTCTTCCTCCAAGGATTTCCGGTGCCTTGTATCCTTTGTCCGCTAGCCGGATGGGCGTACGTAGACGTAGAGGTGGTAATACTCCGTCGAAGAAATATAACAGGAAAAGGTAAGATATCTTGTTCAGCCGTCTCTCGTCATTCGTGTTGCATCCCCCTCCTTTGCGCACAGAGCGAAAAGCGGACGTAAACAGAGGATCGCCTGTTGGATTCTTGTTTCAGGGTTGGTCCCCTGCCCTGCCCTCCTCTCGATTTTGCCTCCACCCGCAATCCGTGTATTTATTTGCGCAGGTCACTGGCTCCGCCCGGCTTGGCTGCGGCGTCGTATCGTCCAGGTAGCGGTACGATCAATGAGGTCGCTTTCCCAGTTGCGCGAGACGAAGACGCAATATAACTCCGTACGAATAACGATATATAAGCTCAGAGTACGGTGCTCCGCGTGGAATAGAGAAAATATATATATATAAATATATACATATATATATCTATAAACAATTAATCCTGGTGGTGTCAAACCAAGCAGACGCACCCATGGAAGAGGACACCGTGCGGAGTAAGTTGCAATATACCTAACCGTGTTCCAGTTTTCGGCCGGAAAAACTCTCGGAGTCGTTTGAAACATCTTCATCTCTCATTTCTGCGAACTACAAACATGGTGATAATGCACATACATGAAGAGCAGATAAATGGAATGCGGAGCACTATCTTTTATTGTCTGAATACTTGGGGTTATACACATTTCTAAGTGCCCCTCACTCTATCTATCTCGCAGCAACCCTGAACCAATGAACGATGTGAGGACCATATTACCAACCCAACCCATTCCACTGTTCAAGACCAGTGAGGACCTCTGAAGAAGAAAAAATATTCCCATGTATCGTGAATGTATATACACTAGTGGCTATTATGACCAAGAAATAAGGAGCAGAAATATCGGAGAGATTTTGAATATAGCATAAAAGGTGGGGCGGCTAACGCATTTGAAGAGAGGAAGAAGAAAAAAAAAAAGTATACAGACATATCAGATCTGGGTCGGAACAGCGGGTCTTCTCTCGCTATTTCGTACGTGTTTCTTCCCTTCATCCTTTTCTTCCTTCTTTTCCATTCATTTTTCGACTTCTTTGCACATGTATGTATGTGGGCGGGATGGAAAGATGGGCGAAATATCCAGCGCTTGGTTTACATGTAGGAGGAAGGTTGCTAAAATGGTGTCCTGTTTGAGAGCAGTTGAAGTTGAGAGGGTGGATGGATAGAGGAGATACAGGGATAACGGACGAGAGACCAACATTGACAATGAACTAGGCTCTATTCAAAATCCCTGCCCATGTGGTTGAGCGTCACTTTTTTCCGATCCAAAGACATGCAGGTCAATGTTTTTCCAACGGATGTTTGACGGGGTATCCAGCAATCAATCGTTTCCTAATTTCTCACAGCTTTATTTCTTGGGTGACGGGAGCTCGCGCGCTGACCTCCCGCAAGGCTGCATATACCCAAAACATGAATAAACACACCTCCTTTTCCAGGAGAACCAAAAAAAGGGAGAGATAGAAAAAAGAGAAAAAGAGGGGAAAAAAATTAATGAAGCGGAGAAAAACACTATGTCCAAACCCAAAAGTAATATATTAGTTTAAAAAAAAGAGGCAGAGAGAAATCTACGACAACACAAACGTCGACGCAGCCGCCACCTCCTCCTGCAACATAGCCTCAACCTCCTTCCCATCAAGCGTCGGCTTAAACTCAAAGGAATCATCCAGAATCTTAATATGCACCGAGCTACCCGCAGCATTAAACACAACAGCAAGCTTCACGGTCTTCCCAGAGGGTCTCTCGAAGAAATGGCTGTCGCCGCCGGAGATGTTGCCGTGCAGGGTCGACTTGGCGCGCATGTTACCCGCGTCGAGAATCTCGAAGACGTCGAACTCGCCGCAGCCAGTTTTCCAGCAAGAGCACTCGGCTTTGCCGTATTGGAGGGTACGGGGGATAGCGGCGTTCAGGATCCAGGCGGCGGGCATGTCTTCGTTCCAGCCGGTTTTGCCGGTGACGGGCATGTCGAATTCGGCAAGGAAGATTTTGTTGTCGCCGTCGAAGCCATCTGGGAGGGGTTTTTTTCATGTCAGTTATGACATATTATTTGGGGCTTGGGGGCCATAAATATCGAGAGAACTTACGATAGGCAACAGTGCCGGGACGGACGGTGCCGCAGTCACCATTGCACGGCTTGTCCGTCATGATGACGATTTCCTCGTTGTCTGGGATCATCTTGTTGCTAAGGACCTTAGGGCTGTCGGAACCCGTGCAGCCGTCCTCGGAGGCATAAGAGAGAGAGTTCCCAAGATCGCTGTGCAAATCAGTCAGTACCAAACAGAAAGAACTAAGGGGGGAAAGTAACCACACCAGTGAGTGGGATTAAGCTGGACAATGAACATACTAATCAAAAACACCAGATCCGTCACCTCCACGATGGTTCAAGAACGTAAGTCCATCGGCGACACCAACTTCAGCATTGTAATAACCCTGGCGTCCCCAGTTACCAGCACCCGGGTTGATGGCCGGGGCGGGCTTCTTGGTCGGGTATTTATTTCCTCCAGCTGGTGGTGAAGCGGGAGCCTGAGTCGGGGCAGCAGGGGCGGCCCCACCAGCATACTGGTTGACCCAGGAGACTACTTGGCCGTTGATGGTGGCAGTGACCATGTCACCAACGGCACGCTTCTCGTTGGCCCGCTTGTGCAGGTGCTGGTGGCCCTGGTGGCGTCGCTCGTGGATGCTGGGTTTCATTTCACGCTTGTAGCGGCCCTCTGGTGGTGCACCGGAACCGGGGCTATAGAAAGCAAATTGCTTTAGGCTGACTGGGCCACGGAAGTGCCAGGAGACCTGTTTTTTTTTTTTTTTTGGTCAATGTCAGTTTTGTTTTTGGAGTAATATACTAAATACATATATGTATATAGTATATGTTCCGCCCCATTTCCCTTTCCGCCGGATTTTTGAAAAGCAGTCATACCTCCTCATTCAATGGCGCGAGTGATCCGCTATACCCCTTTGGCCTGGATGAGCAAGCGCCACCATCCATGCTGACGACCTCATTGTAGGTGCCCGAGGAGCCGAAGTTGGTATAGGTGATGGCCTTGACAGCAGAACAGTACCAGTTCCCACCTAGCACGTGGGCGGTGCCGGGGGCACATGCGTTGGCAGAGACGGTGGAAACAGTGGCAGCCAGCACGGCTCCGACGGCGAACGTGGTGCGCATAATTTATTTATAAATATGTGCGGTTCCTGTTCCAGTTGTTTCAAGGAAACGTGATGCGGAGTGTTTGTATAAGTTTTATACACTGGATGGTTTTAATTAGCTCTAGGTGTCTTTGTTTCTTGCTTGTTAAAAACAAGGTCATCCAGGGTTTGCGGGCGGGACAGGTCTTTAAGAGAATGGAGATTGGAGATTGGATCTTTTTCATGGTAAAGTACGACACAGTTGTTTATATTATAGGGATTGAACAGAATGGGAAACATCATTTTTGTGTATCAGGAGGGGGATTGTAGGTATTTGTATATAGTTCTGGTGGGTCGTTGGGTGTGAAATAGAGTGAATGGTCCAAGAAGGGTCGAATGGTTGGGTTGTGATACGCTGGATAAGCGCCACCTAGGGACAGGATAAATAAAACATGGATTTGGATTCGCTCAAGCCATGAATGGGAACCCAGCCGAAGTAATAGTTGGCAAGAAAGGAAAAGGAGTGATAGGAGTAACACAAGTTTAAGGCCGAAATAGAAAGACCAAAAAAAGAGCATTGATTGTTGAAGATTGTGAGTGAATATGGCAAGTTGTGAATATGTACTGTATACTATTGTGTCTCGTGTCTCGATGTCGCACATACCTTTTTTCTACCTTTTGATATTGTAGATCTGTTCGAAAATGAAAGAAACCAGGTCAAATCAAACCAATTCTCGATTCCGAAAAAAAAAAATATAAAAAATAATAAAAAGTAATGAATATAAATTAAAAACAATAAAGAATGGCTGGGGTTGAATCCGTGAGGAAAACAACGACCGAAAATGAGCGACGAAGAATGAGAGAGGGATTTGGTAGGACAGACAGGATAACAGAGAGAGAAAGGAGAGGAGGAAGAGAGGGAGATCGAAGCCGGCCGGGTTGAGGGCCCACGCCGGGTTTTATTCTGGAAATCCAGGAGGAAATTTGACTCTGGGAGGACACAGGGCCAAGCAAGGGGAAGAGGGGAATAATAATAATAGCGGCTTGCTTGACCCCCTTTTCCCATCCATCCGCCCATTATTCCCACTCTCGCTGTGCACCCTTTTTTAGTATAGGATGGGATAGGGAGATATACAAGCGCCTCTCCGATCGGGAACGGATGAGGATAGCGGCCAACGACTACGACCAACGACTCCACGAGCCGCGAAAGTTCGACTCCTGCAAAATTAACACCCAACTAAGCCCGCTAACATCCCACAAGCTGGACTAGGCAGGGTGATAACGACGAATTGCGCAGGGCCGAGACTCATCCCAGAGACCATCCTAACCTTATTTCCAACCGATTTTCTTTGCAAACTGATGCTCCTGGAGTTCTCTGCCTTTTCCTTGCTTGTCTTCAGGGAGGAGCCCAGGACACAACAAACACTCTTGTGGAACCTTATAAGTTATGGGGCCTTGGATCGGGTCTGCCTCGCGGAGTCGCGGGTTGCTGGTTGGAGTTGAACTTACTTCGGCTGCTTTGTTCCTGGTTATTGGGCGGTTGCTCAGGAGTGCTTCGTGGAACTCGACGGCCGGGAGCGGGACGTACCACGGAGAAGGCACCAGCTAGTTATCCACCAGCAGACCCAGGCAACAAATATTGCTCCGTAGGAATGAGGGGATGTGATGCGGTGTGAGCCCTATGGGATCCATGATAGTTTTGCCGCCTACATGTACGCAGTAGTTATGTCTTTTGTTCCAATTGATATCAATAATCGATAACGGCTGCCAGTTCGCATGACATGTTTCATGTCCGGCTGAGGTATACGCTCTTCTCTTATCTGCTTGGTGGGGATTTCCTGTTTCTATTATTCCTGACTTTTTTGTTCTCGAAACCGCGGATTTTTTTCTCGTGCTCTCGTTTCTTATTTTTACCTTCACATAATAATAATACTGTAATAATGTACTGTACATGTATGTACATTCAAGGCACTCATGCTTGAGAATCTGGCCATTTAGCAGTCGAAACTGTAAAATGAAGGCTGACTGATGGTGAGGAAATTCTGACTTTTCTTTCTGCACTTTTGCTATTCGTAGGGTATTCCTGGGTTGGATATCATGCGAGCCGACTTGTGTTCAAGCCAGCAAAACCAAGATCAGCAACTTTCATGTCTTCCAAGTTCCAACGGCCCAGCTGGCGAAATCTTGGACCCTCTAGCCAGGAACAGCAAGGCACTAGGCTAGGCGCGTTAGAGGGATGTGTTTCGCTTCAACTGGCTTGACAGCCTCGCCAAATCAGCACCGCACCGCAGCACCACTGCACCACAATAATGCTCAGCCATGTTAACTACCACTTGGATTCTTCCGTTGTTTGTTCGATATGACGAAATCCATGTCAGAAGGGGAACAAGCACATGCATGGGCCTCCGCGTCTATTTCAAGCACGAGGCTTGAGTGGTTCATTAGGAATTCTCGGAGCCCATTACCAGGATAGATCAAGCTTCTTTTAGCAAACCCAACCCAAACTCTGGCTGAAGTTATCCATTTACCATAGTTACGATAGTTTGAGTTACCGCACTCTGACAAATCCTATCATAACTTAACCCTCAACTTCTGTTTTATCTGCCATTGCTTCTCTGTGTGCAGGTTCAATTGGCAGTATGGCAGGCAGCCTTACTATCCTGTATAGATTCATCAGAGCACATTATTTCATCACATTAATAAGAGATAGTTATGTGAATATGCAGTATTCTGGAGTCATTGTTAGTTCTATGAAGAGTCACTCTTCTGATCTTTATACATGTACAGAGTAGAGCATGTAGATATAGTGATATTTTGTTTTTCTATTTGAGTAATTCTCTCTGATGATCAGAATCACTCCATGCTCTCTCTGTCAATTTTATTGTTAAATATATATATACTTACTGACAACTATATACTGAAATCTGAAGAACTTGCACAATGCGGACAATGCAGAAAAACCAGGCTGTGACTGAGTGACTGATTTGTATGTGATTTAACCCAAGAGTTTCTCACTCATCTGAGAGATTCTGTGAGAGAAATGATCATGATCATCTAACTATCTTAGAAGTACAGTACATATCTCATTTCTATATCTATTCACCAGTAAAAGAATGAATAATTATTACTAAGCACTTTTCTGCCAATAGCTGGTCTATCTTGAATTCAACACATCTATTCCCTCTCTTAACTGAATTGAAATCAATATAATTGGATAGTTTGTTATTATGGTTCATTAATATTATACATACATCCATACCCATTCCAAACGTGGCCAACTCAGCAAACCTCATCTAAAGTAACTGCTAAACAAGTCTGAAAACCAAAGTAAAAAAAAAGATCCTGTTGATTCGGAGGCGCCTTGGTATCATATTTGGAAACTGTTTGTGTCCGCTGATAGATAAGGAACCCCCACCCAATTTCCTTAATAGCATAAATGCTTAGATGCTATTGTAGATCCCAGCGTGGCCCCCCTGTCAAAATTTTCCCGAAGAAATGGGTGCTCTGTGGCTATCTCCTCGGATCCTACATACTGCATCTTCTCCTCCCGCTGCTAATTCCAGCTGCCAATATTGCTACTATCGAGGTTGGCAGGTGTAACTGAAACGCTAGTGTCGTGGAACTGAATGTCTCCTCTCAAAATGGGTGGGGAGTAGGGTGGGGTTGGTGACAAGAAGGCGAGCTATTAGACCATTTTGGAATACAGAGAGGGGTTGAAATGATAACCTTGTTATCATTTCATTGTGTCATATCAAGTTCGAATCCTGTATAGGTCGAAGGGGCAGGTGCTTAAGAAATGGTTTCGAGAGTTCGTTACACCAATCCATACAAAGGACATCTGCCATAGGTATGGCTTGCACATGTCATCCAGGAATATCCTGGTGGGAAATCCTCTCACGAGGATTAGCCCAAATGCTCAGATAGGCTCGAACTCATTGCTGATGTAGGGCGACATTAACTTCTTGACAAAACAGAGAGCGTAATTTCATCTACTCTTTAACTTGGTCCACCCCCGTGTCCCCTTTGGTTTATGGTTGTTTGTCATGCTGTCATCGGCAAGGTTGTTTTCATCCAGTGTTTTAGCAGTGGCAATGCTCGCGGTATCGCTTAGGACGCCGTCCGTCACAGCTGAAGGGGATTTAATAGCCATCGGAGCAGGTTCTTCTCCTTCCCGGAGAATATGCTTTTGGGAATCTTCGTCCTCCCATTCTGTTTTGTCGAGCAACTCCCATTCTGCACTCGCCATTTCTCCTAGGAGAACAGATTTCAGCTTGTCGACGACCTTAGCTGTGGAAGGCTGCTTCCATTTTCTCATAAATTCAGTTCCTTCCGCGCCTCCAAGGAATGAATGTGCCGTTCCATGAGAATAATGGCCAAGCATTGACAAGGACCTGGTTCGCTGGATAGTTGGTTTGGGGGAATCCTTATCAGAGCCCTGAAGTTTTGCGTGGTTATCCCGGTTTGATAACACTCTAGTGAAGGCTGACGATTGGGATGGCTGTGCAACAAGTAACGTCCACAAGTTACGGCCCATATCATAAACATCCTCCCAGGAGTCAACAACAACATGCAGTCCTTGAGTACGACAAACCCAACAAATGTTCCAAGCTAGGAGCCCAACTCCCTCGAGGAACAACCCATAAGCCGCAGGGTCTTCTTGTGCAAGCTTCGGTAAAGATTTGTTGATATAGAGTGGCCTTGGACGAGGAGGCGGTCTGGTGTCCGTAGTCCGAGAAGCTGTAGGACTCGACGGGGATGATTGAGAAAGCGATGTACCGGGGAATATTGCTTCTTGTGACAAATATGAGGATGATGGCGGAAATATAGTGGGTAGTGGGTAATTTCGATGGGGCAGTGTTATCTCTGCAGGTAGCCTGAGGGAGAGGTAATGCGAAACGAGAACCAAGAGATGGGCGATGTAGGTAAGGGACGTGGTAATGTGGACGTGACTTGCACCTGTACATTTGGCTTAGCAATTGAGGTCAACAGGATATCATTCTACGATACACTTACCGTTCAGGTCCCTGAGATCAACAATACTGACCCCTCCAATGGTGTAAACTGCAACGAGCTCGCCATTTCTCCGCCTCGTTCTCTGGCGCAAACGATAAAGATTGGCAGCCTCGCGACACAGGAAAACCCTAGACTGTGCAGTTTTATTATGCAGATTATTCCATAAGTGCTCGGTTCTCTTGGTGTTATTTTGCACCGTAGCCAAACTTGAAGCTCGTCGGTCTGTCAGTTGATATGTAGCGATTCTACATCTGATCGTCGCTTCTTGAGTAAAGATCTGCGATGGGCGATGTCTTCTCTCCCTTCTCTTATTTCTTCCCTTAATGTAGCTATCTGGTCGAAAATCGCCGATGTCCTCGCGGTCGACTGCGAAGCACGACTTTTGGCTGCTTGGATGGCCCAGCGAGACGAGCGTTGCCGAGATCCCAGGTCGCCTGGGCGCCCATCCTCCATAGGTTCAGCATTATGTGTCTTCTTAGTCACCACTGCAGCTTCGATTTCCTTCCCAATGGCTTCCTTTTCCAATAAAACCCTGGCATGATCGAAGCGAAGAGAGTAGAGCCGGTTACGGGAACACGTCGGGCACAGAAGATGAAGCTGGGAGTTAGGCCCACGATCGCATACGTGGCAGTTCATAACCGGGGATTTCACTAAAGTCTCTTGATCAACTGTCCAACAAAAAATGGCTAACCTCCCATTCTCCCTCCAGTATTCCTCAATAAGCTAGAACCGCAGTTGGTCAAAATGACCGCTAGAAAGGCCACGGCTGTTGAGATCATGGGCAATTTTCATAACTTGGGTGGACAAGAAAGAAGTAGCCAGTGGCTCAACATATATGCTACTTAAAAATATCCATATATTTCCAACTAAATCCATAGAAAAAACAAGAAGCAGGCCGGCCGTAGACCGTACATTTAGATGTTATTTGGTGACTCGAAATGGACGAAGGTGAAGGTGCCTAAAGCGTGCTGGAACCGCTCTGGATGATGTCACCTGATAGCTAAAGACTGTTTGCACTGTTTGCACCTATATTTGCTTCCTGCAAACTCTCCTTCCTCGTGGGCAACGCCTTGCAAGTCACATTGGGAGATCATGTCGACAGTTCAAAAGACGACAAACAGTGGAAGTTATATCAGTATAAGTGGTTATTAGTTCTCGCTGATATATATTGCCTAGGTGTATGGTACGGTACGGGCGTGGCTTAGTCTGAGCAAGCTTTGAAGTCATCGTGACCATCGAGGCATAAAGCGGTGTGCTTTTTAACACAGGGATATCATATCGCCATGTCGAATGACCACTGCAGCTCACCATCGCTTATACCTCGCCCGGTTGCTGTAAATTCAGTGCCCAGGAAAGAAAGCCTAGATGCGGGCTCTAATACTCAAAATCCTGAAACAAGCACAGAACATCTCCGTAAGGATATCGGCCCTAAAACCGAGGATGGAGTAGTCAATGGATATGAGAAATTGGCGCTCTCCCTTCGCGATTGTGACTGGGAACAGCTGCAGAAAAAGTTTACAGATGCGATGGATGAAAGATCCCAGGCAGAAATGGTTCTACAGAGAGAAACTGCCGAATTACTTGAGGTTGGTGCTGTATATTTTCTTCTCCAGAGACACAGTAGACATTAACGATATACGGCAGATGTTCATCGCCTGGTCACAAACGACAGCCTACCGTGATGAAGATAGAGCATACAAGAGGTAGGTTCTGTCCTAAGATACCTCCCGCGAAGACATGAAGAAGCTAACCCATCTATTTGGCAAGGTTCAAAACACGAATGGGGTTTGCCCAGAATTCTGAAGCTAAATTGGAAGAAAAAAAGAAACACTGTATGGTCATGGGCCGCCGGAAAACAATACAATACATACTGACACCCTGCCCTGCAGATGCGAATGTTGTGAGAGCTTTTGAAGATGCTCTTGCACTCCTCCGGGTGGATTAAAAGCAGTATCCTGGATATCCGTAGCTACTCTACTCGAGCATAGTACAGTACGGAGTACACAGGGTTCGATTGGCTTGTTCCGCCAAGACTTTGCCCAAGGTGGCGGCTCACCGCCTTGAGTTATTCTGCCAGTCGACTTGTCTTGTGCTATCCTGACTCTGCAATTGCTTCTGCTTGCTGTTCGGCCTGCTATACTATATACTGTGGATACCATATATGAATTATGGAGAGTAAACCATCCAAAGATGATGCTGCGCTTTTGGAGCGCTTAAACGCTCTAAAACCTTCCACCGTCCAGCTGGGACGAACAACGTTCGTAAACACTCTAGCAGTTTAATCTAGTTGTACAGAATAATGGTTCTGATTGACGCTGTATAGCCTTCCATTTGAACTATCGGACACAGACGTGGACGATCAACCAAGCGTTGATTTGTCTGCACGATTCATTGGCCTTGGTACATCCACTTCGTTTGGAAAATCTGAGCTCCAGCAAGGCGATCTGGATTCCTTTATCAACTCCGGGGATGAAATAGAAGGTTTACTTTCAGACCTCCAGAGCAAGATCTGGGAGCAGTCCCGGGAGGTGGACAACGGGGAGGATGTTGAAAATTTAATCAAGAAATCCAAACAGTTTTTGGATTCTTCTTCTCAGTATAGGGACCTAAAAACTCATCGTGAGCGTCGTCCATCGCAGTCGGGGGCCATCAAAGCAATTGATACCGACCACAGTTCGGAAGATAAAGACGCTGATGATAAAGACGCTGATGATTATCTCCAAAGGGTTCTTGATGAACTAAAAATGGCGGACTCGCCGGGGACAGAGACAGAAGACCTATCAACTCGGTATGCGGCAGGGAACATAAAACAAGCCGTATTAAATACGGAATCGGACACTGAGACAACTAAACCACCACACTCAACCTTCCTAACATCAATCCTTGATCTTCCTTCAACCCCATCAGCACTCCGCTCCCCACCACCTCAGGAACCTCAGCCCAATCCCGACCCTAATTCACCAGAGCTCCCCTCTGCGCCTACATTCGTGCCTGCGGAAAACCCTATCCACATCACTAGCAGCCAACGCAGTCGGCGCTGGAAGGACATCAGTGATAACCTGAAGCCATTTTGGTGTTGTATCTGCAGCGATGATGCTAGCATAAAATGCATTGACTGCGAGCTGGAATTGTTGTATTGCGCTCGTTGTTGGCGAGAGGTGCATGTTGAAGAGGGAGATTCGGAGGAGAGAGCTCATAGGAAGGTTAAGTTTGAGAGGGATAAATCATGATGTTCCGTTTTCTATTTCCTGACGTTGGCTGAGTAGAGTTTTGGGGTTTCATGTTTGATTTTTCTCTGCGATTTGTTGCTTTCTTTCACTACGTTGTACAATTTTTTTCTTGCTAGGTTCAGTATCTGATTCATGTCGATATCCAACGAAAACCTAACGTACGAAATAATGTAGACCACCCTTTTGAGCTCTAGAGCTAAACAATGAGTCAAATATCTGCGTGTTTCTGTACCGCACTTCTGATCCTAGCCTGAAAATACCTTGGGAAACCCAAGCCTAAAACTCTGCCTAATAAATAACTTCCCAGCCAACCAAGTGAAATAACCCATAACCGTACTAGTGAGAAAATTTACATGTCTTCCGCCGCATAATTTACCATCCAACCCAACCTTAAACTGTCCTTGACCAAACCATCCAAAGCTGTATTGTTACTCAGGTATGGGAAACCACATGAGATGATTTCTAGCGTACTATCACATCTCCAAAGTTTGAACTAGTCGCCAACAATACAAATACAAACGAGATTTATCCGAGGAAAGAAGTGCAAGAAATGCTCGGCATATTCAATATTCTCCTTTTCTACCACCGTTTCCATTCATTCACGGGTTCCTCGACCGGCGGAGCCGGAAACTTGGGGCGATCGGCTCGCTCGCCCTGTTATATCTTCCCATGTGGCTCCAAACCTCCTCCCTGTACTTGCCAACAAGCCTTCTTCCTCTGCTTCTTCCACGTCCTCATCGAGTTGCTGCTCATCCAACTTTGGAGTCCGGATTATCGTGGTAAGGAAGATAAGGAGAGAGAATCCTATGTAAAGCGGACGAGGTGTGGTGTGGTTAGTCAACTAGTATTTCACTGGGCTTCTAAATTTTGTGAAAATATAGCGGCCGTCCGGGAAGCATATATTAGGGTTAAGGAATGTATTCACTTACCGAGAAAGACGAATTGCGCCCAGAAATAGACGATACCGAAAACCGTGAAATTCAACGTGATACGGTTCAAAAATGTAGTGACGACCGTGGGTGTACAGATTTCCTTGGCGGAGGGGTTCTCCGCTAGTTCTGAGCAGGGCTTGATTAGGGGTTCAAGGTCAGTACAGTCTGGCTGTTCCCCGGGGTGCTTAGGTGGGTGGTCACAGAAGGTCTGCGGGCCGTACGTTGCATATTGTGGAGCGACAACCATCGAGATGGAGTAATTGAGTGCAAGTGCGATCAGGGTCAGCATCACCGTCGCGATAAGGAGCGCCTGCGGAGACGTGTGGCCTTTTCGGACCTGAAATATTCTGACCCATAAAAAGCGTACTCCTATGGTGGCAATTCCAACGACAGAACTGCAGAAGAAGAGGAGGACCAGGAGGATGAAGAGGATGTAGTCAACCGGAAAAACCTTGGCAGACTGGACAAATACCCAGTTCACCGGATTGAAGATGTTGTTTTTCCCGAGGATATAGCCACAATGCTGTTTGCATACAGAATTCATCACCTTATCGATACTGGTTAGGAGCATAGAGACCCACACCAACATAGCAATAGCAAGTAAAAGAAGGCCACCCAGAAGTTTAAGTGGGCGGAAGACGGCCGAAATCTTAAACCATGCTTTCAGGAGCCAACTTCCCCTTTCCCGGCGAGCTTCCTCTGATAAGCGCTGCCTTCGTCGTAAGGTCCGCTCTTCGCGCACCAAGGAATCGAGTTCTCTTCGCTGTTTCGAAGGTAGTCGATCTGGATCTCCACCGCAGCGGCCTTCCAGCTGGCGCTGGCGTTCTATATTCTCCTCCAGGCGTGACGCTGTGTTGGCACTGAGAGTTGGACTGGAAATGGCTGGAGCCGACTTGATAAAAGTGACGGGGAGCAAGGCCAGGCCGGCAGATGTATACAAGACGTACACCAAAATCCCGATTGTGATGAGCAAACCAAGCGCAAAGGTTAATGCTCGTTCTCCATCTAAAATTGATATGTTAGTATGGCTCTAATTATGCTCATATCTATTATTTTCATAGAAATCTTGAGAGAACGTACGATTTTCTGTGAGCAATTTTTTGAAGTAGTCGAGATCAAAATTTGGCGCGTCCCTGTTTCGTGCCACAGGTACGAAGAATCCAACCAGAAATAGGATAACTGTTAGCAGAATAAAAGCTATAGTGTATTTGAAAGCACCCCAGAATCTTTTCCTCCAACTCTGCAAACCCTCTTCAGTTGCTACTTCATCATATTCTTCATACCAGAAGTATGTGAAAGGCACCACCACTAGACAAAGCACCGCGTCGAGAGAGTAAAGGAAGTAATAAGTAACTGTTAAGGAAAAGGTAATCTTGTCGACCTCATCCTGCGTCGCCCAGGACTTTCGTCTCCCTTCCTTGGGCAAGTTGGTAGAAGACACCAAAGCCACATCGACTGGTAGTAAAAGAACTGTTGCTAGTAAAGCTGTGAGGGTGAATATGCATGCCGTCGTGACAGATGCCGACCTTTCACGAGGGGTCTGGTAGGTGTAAAAGAAAATGGACGCCACGGCGATGAGTATGACAACAACGATCGCATATACTATCCATATCAAAGAAGACTGTAGTAATGCCATATCGAAAAGTTGTACAAAAATTCGAGGGCGGATATATATGGACTCGCGACCTAGGCAAGTAGGCCCAGTTAAAAGTGACTGGCGCGGAGTAGTGCTCTGTTAGGAAGAGTAATCCAAATAGAGATTCATCGAAGGTAGAGAGAGCATGAAAGCAATCATATCTCTAAATTTCCAACAATTCAATATTCCGCATGTTTATGGACCATGAATATCCCATAAAATCTAGGGTGGTGTTCGTTTTTTCGGAACTTGATATCAAGATGGCTGTCGTCATAAAACGCGATATCACGTGCCAATATTGTGATTTGGCATAAAAATAGTTTAGCGTGAAACTCAAATAACTGAAGAGAGGTTCCTGGATGATGCTAAGCCGAATTGGGGAATTTCCCGTCTTGGCCGAGAGCTGGACGAAAATGGAAGCTTCAAATATTCAACGCCAGAGAATAACCTGCGGCTCTACGACCTACCTCACCCATTGCATCTTGTTTGATATATGATTGTGTTTCTTCCGCTTGCCCCGTTTCAATAACTCTCATGGTGCGATAGCATATTTTCTGCCTGGACTTCGCAATGCGAGTTTAACATTTTAGTTCGAAGTCCACTCCAATGCCCACTAAACATGCAATGTTATACGGAGCTGCTGGCCCCTTCAGGGGTAACGCATGCTTTGTCCGTCCCCTTTCTTTCGGGAACGTCCAACAATTTGATAGTGGCAAAATCTACCCTTCTCCAGGTGTTTAACCTTGTTAACGTCGTCTACGGATCTGCTCCTGGCCAGTCAGATGAGAAAACCAGATCACAGTACACCAAATTAGTGCTGGTGGCTGAATATGCTCTCTCGGGTACTATTACCGATCTGGGTCGTGTGAAAATACTCAACTCTAAAAGCGGTGGAGAAGCTGTTCTTGTTGGAACCCGGAACGCCAAACTTAGTCTCATTGAATGGGATCCTGAACGTCACAAAATTGCTACAACATCCATTCATTATTACGAGAGGGATGATGTGCACATTAGCCCTTGGACTCCGAATCTTGCGAACTGTCCCAGCCATTTGACAGTTGATCCGAGCAGCAGGTGCGCGGTACTCAACTTTGGGAAAAAGAACTTGGCTATTTTGCCCTTCCACCAGGTGGGCGATGACCTGGTTATGGATGACTTTGATTCGGACGTTGAAGAACCCCCCAGGGATACGAACCATACGGCAGAAGGACAAGACGAGGCAAAAAAGTCCAATGGACTAGCGTTCCACACTCCTTATGCATCCTCCTTTGTTCTCCCGATAGCAGCACTAGAACCCGCAATGCTTCACCCGATAAGTCTAGCATTTTTATACGAATATCGGGAACCTACCTTTGGAATACTATATTCACAAGTGGCTACATCTTCTGCTCTATTACATGATCGAAAAGACGTAGTCTTTTACTCGGTTTTCACGCTAGATCTAGAACAGCGCGCGTCTACCACCTTACTCTCAGTTTCCCGCCTCCCAAACGATTTATTCAAGGTTGTTGCGCTCCCTCCGCCTGTTGGAGGAGCGTTATTAATCGGGACCAACGAACTCGTCCATATCGACCAAGCAGGCAAGACCAACGCTGTGGGTGTCAATGAGTTCGCTAGGGAAGCATCTAGTTTCTCCATGGCCGATCAATCTGATTTGGAAATGCGCCTGGAGGGCTCTATTGTGGAACAACTGGGAACGGAAAATGGCGACATGTTACTGGTATTACTCAATGGTAAAATGGCGGTACTTAGTTTCAAACTTGACGGACGATCGGTATCTGGAATATCTCTACGGCTAGTCCCCGACCTGGCGGGAGGCTCTCTTTTAAAAGCGAGGCCGTCTTGTTCGGTTCCACTCGGTAGAGGCAAGATATTTTTCGGCAGCGAGGAAAGCGATTCGGTTCTTATCGGATGGTCAAGGCCATCTACTAGACCAAAGGATCCACCGGTACAAGGAGCGGGCGACGATAACATCGCCGAGCTCTCCTCTGATGAGGAAGAAGAAGATGATGAGGATATATATGAAGATGACCTATATGCAACACCAGTTCCAACAGGAGCTAAAGCCCGCGGCTCTTTATCCGTGAAAGGTACTAACCTCAACGACTATACTTTTCGAATCCATGATCGTCTGTGGAATTTAGGCCCAATGAGAGACTTGACCCTCGGTAGGCCCGCTGGCTCCCGAGATAAGGACAAACGCCAGCCTGTCTCCAGCCTATCAACGAATTTAGAGCTTGTTGCAACTCAGGGATATGGCAAAGCTGGCGGCCTTACAATACTCAGGCGTGAAATAGATCCTTACGTCATCGATTCGTTGATGATCAAGGACACAGATGGGGCATGGTCTGTGCATGTTAAAGACCCCAAATTGCCTTCGCAAAGCGGGTCGCTTCCGCTGAATGCTAGCAGCAACTATGACCATTACCTTCTGCTATCCAAGTCCAAAGGCTCGGACAAGGAGAAATCAGTTGTGTACACAATGAGCAGTGGAGGGCTAGAAGAGACTAAAGCGTCCGAGTTTAACCCTAACGAAGATCGCACTATTGACATTGGAACACTCGCAGGCGGAACTAGAGTGGTACAAGTTCTTAAAGGTGAAGTACGGAGTTACGATAGTGGTAAGTTCACGGACTTTTTTTGTTATTGATGTCAAACTTTTCCCCCTCCTTATCTCACGATCAATATCGTTAGCTTTAAATATGATATCACTGACTGGTAGCTAGGTCTTGGTCTTGCTCAAATATTCCCGGTGTGGGACGAAGATATGAGCGAGGAAAAATATGTCGTGCATGCGAGTTTCGCCGATCCATACGTCCTTATTATCCGCGACGACCAATCGGTACTGCTTCTTCAAGCGGATGGGTCTGGCGACTTAGATGAGATAGAAGCTGATGGCATCATTAATTCAACAACATGGATTTCAGGATCGCTTTACCAAGATAAGTATCGGTCGTTCATGTCTTATGAAACAGCGCCCAGCAGAAAACTATCCGACAACGTCCTTTTGTTCCTCCTTAGCTCTGAATCCAAACTTCATGTAAGGATTGCTCGTATTGAATTGCCTAGGATTAAAATAAACTAACTAAGCTTGAAGATATTCCACCTCCCAAATGCAAAGGAGCCTGTGTTCACTGCGGAATGTGTTGACCTATTGCCGCAAATACTTTCAACAGAGCCACCTCCAAAACGAGCAACATATCGTGAGAGCTTAACGGAAATACTGGTCGCAGATATTGGGGACTCTGTTAGCCGAACCCCGTACCTAATCGTGAGTTATCTCATTCTCGAGACGTGAGATTTTATCCAACCTTAAAACTTACCAACCTCACAAAATTAGCTGCGATCCAGCAACAACGACCTCATATTGTATGAGCCATACCATACTACCCATTCCACTGAAAAGAAATCGTCTGATTTGCGCTTTCTGAAAACCATCAATCATCATTTCCCGAAATTCCATGCCGGATCAAACGTGGAAGATAGTTCCCACATCGGTGCGCTGCCGAAACCACTCCGCGTTTTAGGGGATGTTTGCGGCTATCGAACTGTGTTTATGCCCGGAAATTCTCCTTGCTTCGTAATAAAATCATCCACAAGCATTCCACATGTTCTGAACCTCCGGGGCAAGACAGTCCATTCGTTGAGCAGTTTTAATATACCCGCATGTGAGAGAGGGTTTGTCTATGTCGATGCTGATGTAAGTCTCTTTCTTTCTTCTGTCTTCCGTCCAAGCGTATGAACAAGTAACTTATGTTCATCACCTAGAATGTTGTGCGGATGTGTCGATTTCCCAGAAACACTCATTTTGATGGCTCGTGGGCCACACGAAAAATTGGCCTCGGCGAACAGGTAGATATTGTTGAGTATTCCTCCTCGTCAGAAACATACGTTATCGGAACCAGCCAAAAAGTCGACTTCAACCTGCCTGAAGATGATGAAATCCATCCTGAATGGCGAAACGAAGGTATGATCGCAATCATGTTCACGTGAAGGCAGTTATTGCTAATCCAAAAAATAAATTTAGTGATATCCTTCCTCCCCCAAATCGATCAGGGGAGTGTTAAACTATTAAGTCCGAGGACGTGGTCGATTATCGATAGGTAAGGAAATTTGGAGCATATATTCGATTCGTCAATATAATATTTTAACACACGTTCTAGTCATACTTTGCGAACTGCGGAGCGTATAATGTGTGTTAAATGCCTGGACCTTGAGGTATCGGAAATTACGCATGAACGTAGGGATATGATTGCAGTAGGTACAGCAGTCACGCGAGGAGAGGACATTGCTGCACGTGGTTGCATTTACATTTTCGAAGTCATCGAAGTCGTTCCTGAGGTTGACAGACCAGAGACCAACCGGAAGCTCAAGTTAATCGCCAAGGAAGAGGTTAAGGGCGCTGTGACATCTCTCTCAGGAATTGGTGGTCAAGGGTTTTTGATTGCTGCCCAGGGCCAGAAGTGCATAGTCAGAGGCCTCAAAGAGGATGGTAGCCTTTTACCGGTGGCGTTCATGGATATGCAATGCTACGTTAATGTTCTTAAAGAGCTCAAGGGTACGGGGATGTGCATCATGGGAGACGCTTTGAAGGGCATTTGGTTTGCAGGGTATTCGGTAAGTTTATCCGCTGCTATACCCCGATGCAGCATAAATGTCTAACCGCAAATTTATAGGAGGAGCCATACAAGCTATCTCTTTTCAGTAAGGATGACGGCACGCTCCAAGTGATGGCCGCTGACTTCCTTCCTGATGGAAAACGTCTATACATATTGGTCGCTGATGATGACTGCAACATACATGTTCTGCAGTATGATCCTGAAGGTGAGACAAAAACAGTTCCTTTTCGCTAATTTGATGAAAGTTATTCTGACAAAACCTCCCAAAAGACCCTGGGTCTTCCAAGGGTGACAGATTACTGCACCGCAGCACCTTTCACACGGGCCATTTTGCCTCAACCATGACCTTACTCCCCCGAACAATAATTCCATCAGCTCAGGGACCAGACGCCAACCCAGACATGATGGAACTCGATTCCTCCGGGCCGCTCTATCACGTCCTTGTAACATCGGAAACCGGGTCGATCGCACTCATCACTCCACTTTCTGAAACTGCATACCGAAGACTCTCCGCCTTGCAATCTCAGTTGATCAATACGCTCGAGCACCCTTGTGGGCTCAACCCCCGTGCGTTCCGAGCTATTGAGAGCGATGGCATTGGTGGACGGGGTATGGTTGATGGTGACCTGCTACATAGATGGCTTGATTTGGGCACGCAGCGAAAGGCGGAGATTGCGCATCGGGTCGGTGCAGATATATGGGAGATTCGTGCTGACCTGGAGGCAATTGGGAAGGGAGGATTGGGATACTTGTGAATATGCTCTAAGTTTCTTACCCCTTCAATGATTGATGCTGCTTAGGTCGTGTGTTTCGTTGGGTATATGGGCACATACATGTATTTGTGCGGGTTATTTGCAGGAGAATATAATACAGAAGTCATGGAATCAGGACTTCACCATTGTATCAATGCAAAGTAGCCTTAGATGTTTAGTCTGTGTCGTAATCATCGATCCCCAAAAGCAGAATATACAATAGATAGCAAAGGGTCGGTGCATTGGTATCTCAACATCACCATCGCCTACAAACCCAATCAGCATCTCGTGATACCCGATCATATCCATGGATAATATTCAACAAGTGAAGAAGAAAAACACGAAAGAGAAAAAGTAATATAATATACAAGCCGCCTTAGCTTCCAGCCGCAGTGATATCCGTTCCTGGAAATTTTAACACATTATTAAAGCTCCATCCATCACCTTGGCAAATCAATCATTCTTCTTCGTCTTTAGCGTCGCCGACAACTCCCGCGCCTTAGTTTCTAGCTCAGCTATTTCCTCTATTGAGAAAACAAAGAGGAAGGGGGAAAAGATAAGCATCATCAGCAACTTGGTCTTTTTCTACAGCTCTCTTTTAAATACTTCCTAAAGAAAAGGAAGGGTTATATTTGAAATACAAAATTTCAAAGGCATAAATTTTGAGAAAATAAAAACGCAATAGCAAGTTGAGAGAGTTTTTAAAACTTACTATTCCTGATAACCTTCTCCTCATCAACCTCCAGCCTCACCCATGCCCAATAGATAATTTGGTATGTGAGTACGCCGCCTAGGAAAACTTTTGCAAAGGCCCCGCCGAAGTTTTTGTATATACTTGTCTGTCAAAACCAATTGTATTACGAACGCGCCAGCGCGTTTATCACTTCATGTTAGATAAAAAATAAATAAAATAAAATAGCGAAATAGAAAACGGAAACAGTAAGGCCGTACGGAAGTGCAAAAAAATTGAAAAAGAAGTAGATAATTGAGGGACTTACATGCGCGGAAGGTGCATTGGTAGTTGTGGAATGCTGCGTGCTATTATCATTGAGTCGTGGAGGCGTTGAGGTGAGCGTTCGTCGGGTTAGTGGTGATGCGAAGGTATATTTTAAGGGGTTTTGTCTAAGATATGATGATGGGGGGAGAGGAGTTCGAGTGGATTTTGGTATCAAAGAGCGAAACATTGTCGCTATTTGTTTTTAGGAGGGATGAATGGTGGATAAAAAATATGTACGGGGAATCCGCTCGGAGTTGGATGTAGATTGTAGATTACATAGGTTAGGGGGCGGAAATAGCGATGGCGGAAAAACAGCGCGGAAGCGCCAAGAATTTACTCACGTGATAACAGATTTTCCGAAGATTTCGCTGTCTATACATAAAAGTATGCAATACAGCCTTTTGTCGTGATTTACCCTTAACTATGTGTTCAAGGAGAAGCCCTTCGTCTGCATAAACATAGTCTGTAAATATATTCACGCATATCATTGTAGTTGCACTCAGACTTATGAAATTCTTCGTGCCTGAAGAATTGATTAACTATCCTGGAATGGTTTATCAAGAATTCACGATTCTCCTGATCATGGCCAAACACTAGCCTGGGCAAGTAGAGAAGCCAATTACGTGTTGTTAAAGAGAGATGCCCCTCGCAACTGCATGAGTGTAGCGAGAGCGATCTTATAACTCAAATGGAGACCGCGAGAGACCAGCAAGATGATACCACCACCCTTAACAGCGCTCCACATATCACCCAGTAGATAATCACCCCAATCGATACCGTATGTATATTTCAAAATCCGCCAATAATTTTTGAACTTGCCAGGAGATTTAGCAACGAATGACAGGCTGATTATCTAGACCATCACGATGCAGCTTGGTTTTTGTTGCCAGCTGCATTGGAGTGATCCCATGCTGGAGTCTTGCGTGTTCTCAGTTTCACACTTAGTTCTTTGGCTTTTCACGTCCCTGCGTGGTTCCCTGAGTGTTTAATAGCGACCGCCATTATGGACTCGCACTCTGAAATTGCACATCCTTGGGGGGCAAGCAAAATTTCTTGCTTGGAGGAAATATAAGGTAGTTCGTTAATATAGGGAAAGCTTCAATCTCATAAACTGGGACTGTGGAACCACAGAGCCACGCGACCAAAACGTAAGAAGGGCCCCGCTCATTTCAATATTGACGAGCAGCCCACGGTAATAATAGTGTTGGAAGTAGTACTCCGTAAGGCGGACATTGAACTCTGCAGCCTCAACTGGGATAGGGGCATCTTCCGATACCAAGCAGGCGGGGGTAGGGAAGAGGAAAAGCATTGTACTTGATAATTTTGAAGTGGGCCTGCTTTTCCTTGGCTACCATTAGCTTTAAGGAGACACAATTAGTTCCAGGGCCTGTCTTCAATTATTGTAGGCTACTGGGGCAAAAGAGCTCAGTCACCACCAGCGCACTGCTGGTAGAAGGGCCGATCAACCCGGGACCCCCAACACCCCCCCTCAGACCAGCTACCACAGAGTACTTCTCTCAGTGACTCCTCTCAGTGGCTCCTCTTAGTGGCTCCTCTCAGTGGTCTTTCTTTTTGGACTCACTCCTAGGGCTCATTCTTTCAAGGGCTCACTCCTAGGGCACACTCCTAGGATGTCTCTTGGCACTGTTTAAATGTCCGGGATATTTGTTTTGGGATTTTTTATTCTTAAGTTCATCCTGGGATTGAACCCATGCATGTTGACCACAGCGGGGCTCATGCTAAACGGTCTCATAACCTGTAGGCTACTGGGGCAAAAGAGCTCAGTCACCACCAGCGCACTGCTGGTAGAAGGGCCGATCAACTCGGGACCCCCAACAATTATCTACAAGATAAATCATCGCTGACTTATCAAGTCACGTGATAATACGGGGCCCAAAACGGGCCGATTCTGCAGCATGCGGAGTGTGGAGCGGCAAGCTGCCGGCGAATTTAAGGACCGATAAGCTTGTCTTGAGCCGCAAGGGACTCTGACGTCGATCATCAAAGCTTTTCCATGTTGATATCTTTCGAGATGAAAATTCGGGGTGCCGTTGGCGAGGTATGGGGACGTCGAATTGCGGTTCAAAATGACCAAAACTCTGTTCGCGGGAACGAATTCGCTAAGAAGAGATGTGTTTGGCAGCAATTCCGCAGCGTTCGCGGTGGTATGTGGCATCTAATGCTTGACAAACGCACAAGCGAAGCGATATCGAGGGGCCAAACAGCCATGGAAAGCGTTGACACAGAAGTTTTGCGCGTTTGTTTGGCCTCAACGCCCAGGAGCTTTGCAGTCGGTTAGATTCCACTAAGCCTAGTTTGGATATAGCGCGCCATTAGTCATACCCGAACTAGACCTAAGGAGGACTAGCGCGGTGGCTGAAGCAAAGCGGCCAAAAACACCAGGGAGGCTCCAAGCGCGGTGAAGACAGACAGACAGAGACCCCAAACCACATATCGAAACTGACCCGCATATCCCAATTGCTCCGCTTCCTCGAGCGATATCCCTGGCAGCGATCGATGAACCCCGTTTTAGTGTTCGAGTATTAGGAGGAGTGTAAATGTTTGTTTGATCCAACTCAGCCCGTCGCTCTCCTACTACACTCCATCCCATCCCTTCTCTCCTACTCACTCCAGCCCTATACTATACAACGCTGCCCGTACGTGCGCCTTTCGACTCCGGATTTTTTCTTTGATTATCATTAGAAGAATATTTCCCTATCTGGGGAGTCATATAGAAATAGGAAGAATACAAGGAATCCGTTGGGCTGCATTTATTTTTGCTAATATTAGACCTCGAAAAAAGGCCTCCATTACCATATCCGAACGCGTGGGACACCATGCCTCGTACTTCAAAACGCACGCTGGAGGAGATCGTGCTGAAGTCAGATTCCGACGATGGCGACTACAGCGATAGCAAGCCGCGACCTGCACGGAAGTCCACTACCTCCAAATCCAAATCGAAGAAACGACCTACTAAACGGCGGAGAAGAAACTCGATGGATGACGATGATGACGAGTCCGACATCCTTACCAGTGAGGACGACATCTCGATTGAATCTGAGTTTGATGAAGACGATCCCACCCTAGAAAGAAACGCGCGAGGATCGATAAAGAGGAGGGCTGCAAAAAAAGCCAATTATCAGGTTTCGTCTACTAGCGATGAGGATGAGAATGAGCTGGAGGAGGAGGAAGACGAGGAAGAGGAAGATAAGCGGGAGGTGAAGGGGAAATCACGAAATACCGACAAAGGTAGAACAACAAGACGATTATTAGTGAAGTTCCCCATCGCGGCCCAGTCAAGCACGACCCGTCCTACCAGGAATACCCGGGGTCGAAGCGCCAGCAAGGAAAATCCGACACCCACCGAGTATCAAGGGACCAGGCGAATTACTCGCCGAACCTACGATGAGACTGAGGATATTGTTGCACTCACTGGTTCCGGACGCCACGTCCAGACAGTTCGTAAAGCCACACGCAGTCCTGAGTCCTTGCCACGGACACGTAGGGGCGCTGCCGCGCCTGCTCATGTTCCCTCCAAAAGTACCATCGACGAGGAAGAGGAAGTCTCCAACCAGGAGTTGCAAGACGAAGGTGATACAGTGCCTGCTGACCCGGTGGCGTCGCAGATTGAAATAATGGAAAGTGACCAACATGGAGATTTTGAGGAAGACGCACCAGCTGTGGCTGCGTCAGATAATATTAATCCTCCACCTGAAGCAGAAGAGAACTCTCAAGATAAGGATGTTGAAATGGGTGGAGAGGGCTTTGTACCTGAATCGGACCAAGGTGGGGAAAACGAAGAGGAAGAAGATGAGGATGAGGCCCCACGGTCGAGTAGAAACCCCCGGGCGAGTCGGAAGCAGAATATGCCAGCTGAGACTGTGGAAGAGGCAAACCCACCCACTCGCCGTTCCACGCGCAAATCTGCCGCTCGAAGTTCGCGCCAACCAGAAGAGGATGGCAGCGATTTTGAGCCGAATGATGACGAGGCCAATGATGAAGATTTATCTGAATCGGAAGCATCCCAGGCCTCGCCGCGCAAAGACAGCCAACAAAATATCGACGAGGCTTATGAGAGTAGTAATGACCGTCGATCCAGGCTTAGAAAGCGACAATCTCAATCCCAAGGGCGTGTTGAATCGGAGGCAGGTGAACTTGCAGAAGAACTGGCAGAGCTGAGACCTGGTCGGCGCCGCCGGAGAGCACAAAATGAAATAGTCTATGAAGATAAACCGCGGCGCACTCGAAAGTCTGTGGACTATAGAATCATCCGACCTGAGATTACTTTGCCTATTGAAGATGAAGACAACGTACCTTCCGGGTCTCCTTCGCGGCGTGGTCGAGGTGGAGGCAGTGGCTGGCAGAGAACCTTATTTTCAACCTATGGCCCCTTTGGAGGTGCAGGTGGCCTTCCGCCGCTCCTAGGGGGTCCGGGGACGGGCGCAGCAGGTGGAGCAGACAGCGACAGTAGCGATGATGATTCCGGCCAAAGGCCAATGATTGGTGGAATGTCAGGGATGACCCCTACGGCAGGATTTGCACCCGGGTTCAATATTGCTCCTGGCCATGCATTCGCACCTGATACCGCCCCTGGTCTCTCAGGCACTCCAGCAAATTTCGGAAAGGTGAAGGATAAGCAAGCTCTGGCTGACTCTGACCCGCTGGGAATCGATCCCAATGTCAATTTCGACAGCGTTGGGGGTCTACAAGGTCATATCGACCAGCTCAAGGAAATGGTTGCGCTTCCTCTGCTCTATCCGGAGATTTTCCAACGGTTTCATATCGTTCCACCACGAGGTGTTTTGTTTCATGGACCTCCTGGTACCGGAAAAACGCTTCTTGCTAGGGCTCTCGCCTCTAGCGTGAGTTCAGAGGGCCGTAAGGTAACCTTCTATATGAGAAAGGGAGCAGATGCTCTCAGCAAATGGGTGGGTGAAGCGGAGAGGCAACTCCGTTTACTTTTCGATGAAGCTCGAAAGACCCAACCTAGCATTATCTTTTTCGATGAAATTGATGGTAAGGCTTTATGTGTTTTACTTCCCTTGTATATCCTACCACCCTTATCAAGAGGATCTTTAGCTGATGGAATTGAAATATAGGCTTAGCACCAGTTCGATCGAGTAAACAGGAACAGATTCATGCGTCTATTGTTTCCACTCTCCTTGCATTGATGGATGGTATGGACGGTCGAGGCCAGGTTATTGTCATCGGGGCAACGAATCGGCCGGATTCCATTGATCCGGCCCTGCGACGCCCTGGGCGGTTCGATCGCGAATTCTACTTCCCTCTACCTAATACTGAAGCCCGACGCGCGATTTTGGATATTCATACTCGGGGCTGGTATCCTCCT